AAGGAACAAGTTTCATTTTTGAAGACTGATGAAGACTCAGGGATACTACCAGATTATTGCATCACTTTCATGGGCAGCCACTCTAAAAATTTGTGTACCTCAACTTGTATGTGGTGGACAATACATTGCCTAAGTATATCTGTATCTATATAGGGATAGTATATTAAAGCTTTAAAGCTGTTCCATTAATCCTGTAAACCCACTTAAAATGCTGAAGTTTCAGCCTTATTGGCCAAATGTTACCTTTGAGTGTAGAAGCCACAGGTGGAGACAACCAAATATGAAAACTTGAAGTAAAAATCTACTTAAATACTTTTTTTTATGTAATTATGTAACATATTTTGCTCCGCTTTACCACCAATTTATAAATATTCATCTCATGTATACAACATTTCTTGACAGCCTTTTCTCTTCTAAACATATTCTGATGGCATGCATATGCCTCAGCCACACAGGGAGTGATGCCTTCTCTGTTTATAGAGACAATAACTGTGGGTTTTTTGTTATAAATGAAAGAAAAACACAGTAGTTAGCTCTGGCGGCAGTCGTCATCAAACCAGACAAAGAAAGAACTCAAATTTCATCAACAAAAATGCAGAGGAAGAAGAAACAGATGAATTGCTTGGAGGCTGCTTACTGTGACAGCACATGATTAGCGGTAAAAATATTTTGTGCTGTCTGAGCCTTTGTTTTTTTTAGAGAGACATAATGGCATCCTTAGGTGCTGTAGACTCCTGAGATTTGCATGCTTTATTGTGCAAAGTTCTAAAGTTTACCTAATTTTGAATTTTACAGGTAATGACACGTTATAGCAGTTGATAGGAGCCATGGCTCTACACACAGGCCAGTCTTCTGTGCATCTTAGAAACCCTGTATGTGCATCCTGAGAGTGCTGAAAAGTGTCCATTGGTGGACAGTGCATGAATATGGAAAATTACAAACTCCTGACTGCGGAAAATTACCAGGATCAGACGTAGCCTTCTGCTAATGTGAATGATAACGACTGACCTGCCAATGGAGACAACACTGAGTATTTGAGTATGAGCATTTTTGACCTTTTGTAACAGTATCAGGGACATTATATTGTAGGCTCAAAGGTCCACTAGCTTTCAGCCTGAGCTCTAATGTTAACAATGTTTTCAACAAAAGAGTAGCTGACTACTAAGTTAGTATTTATGTTACTAAATGTGTCTGTATAACACTGTTTTCAATACAAGTAACATTCTAGAGTGTAAAAACAATAACTGAGTTATTCACTAAATTATTAGAGCCAGCTCAAACATGATCCTCATGTTTAAGTTGGCTTCCAATATGAGAGAGGTCAATCCTAAAGTAAAATGTTTCTTAGCTTATCTTTCCATGAACCATACAATTGACAACAAGTACTTGGTTTCATAAAGAATTCTAAAGAATTAAATTCTCTTACAAAATATTATAAACCAGGCCAAATATTTAAAGTCTCACTACAATGGAAAAGCTGTGAATGGTGACATATCGTGGTGTATACGAGAAGCCACATTCAAACCATTCTTTCTTTTACAGTCCTTTGAGCCAGATTCCCATTTCACCAGAAAATGTTCATCTCTCCGCACACACCTGAAAGACTATGAGCTCACAGGAGTACGGTGGCTACTCGGTCGGTGGGCGTTCCGCATCACCCATCGGTCACGATGATTTCCTCTCTCCAGAGTGGATGGTAAAGGAGCAGTGGCCCCCTAGGAAAGTCTCATCAGAGTGAGAATTACAGGGTAGATGTGGAGAAAGAAGCTCTGCTCACAGAGTTGGAAAATGCTAAATGAAAAATGAAAAACTTCGCTATCAGAGTGACCACAGTCAGTTCAAGCTGGAGCAGCTCAGTCGTCAAAGCTTTTTCTATACTCATCAGCGCCACAGACAAGTAGAACACTAGGCGACTAGCTCACCAACACGATCTTTCTTCCCAAAACTGAGCTGCAGTCTCCTGTCCACTCAAGTTAAGCCGAGCCTCTCTCTTCAACCGAGAGAACAGAGTATCTCTTACCAGTCACAGGAAGTACCAAAACAGCAGTGAATCATCTGAGCTGTCCTACACAAGATCATCTGAGAGCATTATTACAATTCAGTATCACACAGATGTCCAAGAAACAGGACCAAACCCACAAGCAAAGTCACTCTCATCACCACATGCCAAGTCTAGTAGGTGGACAGGAGCAGTTCTACAGGAGACCAATGCCCACAATTCCTGATATAACCCCAGAGAGTTCAACTGTCTGAGAACCCCCTCAAGACTGAAGAGGCACCAAAGCCTTCAGGATGTCTGCCCTCCACATGCGATCTACGCTCTATTTTCCACTGCTTTATTCATCCTCTGGAAGTTGCCCAATCCAACTCACGTTGACCTGGGTGACTGGCTGAATATGAGCTCCAAGTGCAAGAAGACAACACCAGCTTCAGCAGCAGCTCGAGGAGGGGGAGGGAAATAAAGACCAAAGGGAAAAAGAAAACCTCCAAGTCTACAGTGGGGGCCTCAGGAGTTCTAATGATCACAGCAGCCATGTCCCAGAATGAGGCAGTTACACCACCAACATCAACAGAGAGAAGTCAGAGTCCAGTTCAGGAGTGAAGCCATAGCGCAATAAATCCCCCTTAACCTCACCATCTTACACATTGATCGGCCATTAGAGGGTGAAAGGTTCTGCTCAAAGTCATTAAAGCGGTACTGAGAAATGGAAACAGAACCATGGACACATGATCACATGATCCTTCTCCACTGAGAAGCTCAGCAGCTGGGCCTCAAGGGGAGGAGATCTCCCTTTAAGACTTGTCAAACAAGAGCTGCAGATTCTACATGGTTGCATGGTCTCTACCATTTCCCCACACCAGGTTTTCTCTGTCAACTGAGCATTTACTGCAAAATGCCTAGGGTTAGCTGAGCCCACACGCCCAGTGGAGGCCCTCCAGAAGAAGTACCTGAGAGCTCTACACGATAGCTGGGACCATTGTGGTCTCACAGTTCCACCTTGTGGCAACCTGTTTGTCTTTTAGCCCCTTGTAAGGACTGGGATTCATTGTTTTTTATTGTTTTTTCTTTCTACGTTTTTACTTATCCCTTTTCCAGAAACCACACACAAACGTACAAATGTAAAGTCAAGTTCATGAATACCCCGGCGTCAAGCCACTTGTTCTGCAATAAAGTTTTCCTTACTGGAACTTTGTGATTTGACACTCATTCAGTTGTGGTCTGGAATTTTCTGGAAGCAGTCAGCCACTCTCCTTCTTTTAGAAGATTCTGCAAATATTGCAGTTAAGGTGAATCTGCCCAGAATGTTTCAGCAACAAGTACAAGTACAACTGGTGTGTTACATAATGATGTGTCACTGTTGACCTGAGCTTTTGCTTTCATCATGGTTGGGGGCTTAAAAAGGATGACAACCATCTCTGAGCCAAAGCTAGAGCAAACATCAGTGTTGGCCTTCCAAGATGATAAACACACCAAGATGAGAAATAATGATGAGGAGCAATGCAGATGTGACTCCTTTATACACTGTGTATTCTGAGCGACTTTATTGTGTTGGGCTGGTGCCTGCACGCAGAGCAGAACTTTGAAACATTGAATGCTCATAAGCATAACAGTGACGTTTTGACCACTTGAACTCCATATAGGAGCCAGTAGATATCCTCAGAACATCTGCGAGATTGCTGGTTGATCCAGACTCCAGAAGAAAATAGTCAAATTTATGGATTGTAGTGTGTCCTGGATTAGAGGTATAAAATGCAAGATGTAATCAGTGTCCCTAATTCGAATCTGGCTGGGGACATTTGTTGCATGACCTCTCTCTTGCCTCATTGCCCATCTTTTAAAGATTTTAATTACAATACACAAGATCAGCAACCACCAGGATTACCCTTGAAATGCTTTATCAAGTCATGGTTAGGTTCTGATCTGTCCTAAAGGGGGACTCCAATTTCATACATCAAATTGTGTTTACAGGTGTTGGGGGGCACTACTGCACATGTGAAACAAAGTTGTATAAAGCCTTTTGTGTCTCCAGAAGGAGCTGTTTAGTAAAGTGATGTCCCTTGAGTCAGCACCAGTTGACTACAAGTCTGAAAATGAAACAAATCTGTGGGTCTTACTAGAGTTCTGTAATTGTCCTTACCTCTGCTTGAGGCTACATTAGCCACTGCTAGCACAACACACCCTAAAGTTTCTGACCAAACTGTCAGCAGTCAAGTTACATTTTGGGTAATAGGCGGCTGCATATATGAGAAAAAAAACACCTAACCCTAAAAAACAAAAGGTTTCTCAGCTGTTTTTTCTAGTATTAGGTGTCCTTAATAACATACTAAAAGTTTACCAAAGTTTGACCACTAGAAAGGTGTAATTTTCAAGATGGCGTCCAAGATGGGCAGGAAGCCCCTTAAATATCCTAACTCCTTCATTATTTGACCTAGCCAAGTCATCTTGGTGTAATTTTTTAGGGTCAAGCCATATTTGCAGCTGACTTTAATGTAGGCACCAGGTTTTGATGAGGAAGAAGACTGTGTGGAATAAAATAGAGATCGCTTTCTGGATGTGCTGTATCAATTCTGATCCTTATAGGAGTGTAATGCTAAATCAGTGGCGGACCACTAATACAACACAGCCATTGCTTTATGATGATGTAGAGCAGTGGTTGTCAACCTTTTAGAGTCATGAACACCCAGATTAATCAGGTTGGTGTTCACGAGACACCAGTTAACTATCTTCAAGCCTCCAACCCACAAGGTCTTTAAATCTTTCTCTGCTCTGATTGGTTGTTTTCATCCAGGGCCCATAGATTCTTGCAAATGCCATTAGGAGCGCTAGAACGAGCCAGAGGAACACGATTTTTTCACAGATTATCTGTCTCATATACGACTTTCAGGATATAGTGAAAGTTTCAGCAAGTATGACGAAACGTTATTTAGAGAAAATTGAGCTACTGCAGCTTTAAGTTAAGCAAACTCATAAAACAGTGAGAAAAACAACTTCAGACAAGTTTTATACTTATTCTGACTTAGGTTTTTTTTATTTACATTTCATACTTTTACAAAAACAACTCTTTTTTTAATAACAGGACTGCAAAGCCAGAACACTAGCAAAGATTCAGAACAACCATAAACTCTAAAATACAGAGTGGTCTCGTCAGTTTTTAACAGCCAACTGTGGAATATGATCCAGTTAAAACACTCAACACCACAAACGTCAGTTCTCCCTATACAATGTGCAGGTTGTTTTACTATCTGGGATGTTTTTGTACAGTTTCTCCAAACTACAGTTTAAATACAGTATCAAAGACACAAAATACAACATCTGTCTCAAAGCAGGTTGTAATCAAGTAGCCTACAGTATAAAGAATATGCAACATAGTATGAGTGTATATACTGTATATTTATATATATACACACACTGCAGACAGTCACAAAGTGAAGACTACCAAGGCCCCCCATACTCCCAAACTAAGCTGTTCTATTCACATTTAACAAGAATATCCAAAGATGCCATGAAACAGCAACCATAATACAAAAGTCACCAAAAATATACTGTATATGCCATTATGAAGAGCTACCATGTTTTTTTCTTGTATTTTCCAACTTTTAAATAAACCATAAGGACTGGAAAACGTATACAACATCAAGTGTACATTGAAAAGGCATGTCCTGTATATAATCAAGATATTTGAAAAACATTGCACATAAAAGGGATAACGTACAGAAAAGAAGAGGGCATGCTGAACAACAGATCAAGCTACGCTGGATGAAGAGTCATCGACAAATAAGGCCTTGACAGAATGCATCGCCAACTGAAGACATGCTCTCCAATTCACAGAACGATATGAACATGCAACTTTAGAAACAAACAGAAAGGAGCTGAATAGAACCGGTCGTTTGATATCAAAGCTTTGTTCCTTGTTTCACAGATCAAATGGGGTCCTTGCCTATTTGATTCACCTTCAGTCACATTTGAATAAAACTAAATTATACATTCTTTTTTTCTTTTTATAGAATTCACCATTCCAAAGACAAAATTAAAACTTTGAAAACAACACCTGTCCATTTATTGCACACCATTGGTTCACAAAAATATTTTGGGCACTTTGCGTTTCAACAAACAGCAGCATTTCATTATAAAAAAGTTGTTTGAATACAGACACAGAAGAACAGATGAAAAGCATGACATACAAATGGAGAATAGAAAACTTTTTTTAAATTTTGATATTGTGCAACTAGAGTTAATAGGTCCATTTACTAAGGCTAGCCTCTTAAATGCACAACATCATACAGTGTTTTAAGGGGCGAAAACAGCAGGACCCCTTTGCTAAATAGCATGGACCACTTCGAATGATTATCTCTTTCTTTTATTATGTGCAATTACTGATTGCCATGGCAAATCCCCAATGAGATAGAGAACATTTGGTCCTGTAGGAGAAAGCATGATTTGTACCCAGATAAAAAGGGCAAATGGCACAACTTTGAAAAAGTGTCTGATAGGATGGCACAGGCTGACACAAGCTCTTATTAAGACAGCTCTCAGTGAGTTTCAATGATCGGGACAGGGTAATATTGATGGCCTCATCGCAGCAATATTCATCTTTACATTTACAATCAACCCTGTACATGAGGTCTTACATCCTGCTGTGATAATCCTTAATGTCGGCTGTTTGTACTACTTTCAGGGGGCAACAGAAAATAAAAACTGAACCAAGATACCCAGTCACAGTCAGTAGCATTCAACTCATGGATTATTACCATGGGTATCATTATCTTCTCAAAATACAGGCACAACAATGTCCAAGGACACAATTACAACCATGTTGGCACAATGCAGGTAACAGGAGCTGGAGGTTTGACCCAAAATCAGCATTTAAAAAAGTAAATGAAATTAGTAACATCAACTGCTGAACTGTGTTATCAGTTTAAAGTGAAGGATACGCTCTTAACACAATATATTTAAGATATCATTTATAATGATTTATCTCACAGTATTTGCATTCACACATTAGCATGTTCCTGTTGCTTCTAAAGCAATATTATCACCAACAACAGCCTTGTAATCTGTTCTGACTGAAAACAGGCCATCACAGATAGCCACCATAATCTTTGCATCACTTTCTGCTTTCCCGGCTGCAGACGCACAGTCATATCTTACATTGTAGTCAGGGAAACTTCCACTGCGTAGTTCTTCCCTTTGCTTTCACTTAGGTAAAGAAAACAAAAACAGAATGCTGGTGGTTAATCCACACTTATTGGGTAACATAATATTCTTGGTTTATCACCCACACACAATGTCACACGAGGAAAGAACTGAAAAGACAATCATGTTGTACCTAAGTGAAACACTTCATGCAATATCCTAGAACATCAGCAGTGTACCTGTTGGTAAATCATGACGACCAAAATTTGAAATCCATGTCAGATATCAATATTATAAACACAAACTGACTTTAAAACCGACAAGCAGGCCTTAACTTCAACGGGGGGTAAATGCTACATTACCATGTCTTAGAGCCCATTTGGGAGCGTAACACTGCAGTTGACGGAAAACCTTGCAACTCCAAATTTGACGTTTTTGTTTTCCATAACTTTCAGTCTTATTTTTGCCATTTATTTGGTTGGATTTGACCCCGAAAGATGCATCAGTGCTGATCCAAGTTTTCCTAAACTCCAAGAGTTTAGTTTTTTGGAGATGCGAGGTTAGATTTAACAACAGTGTTCTTTCAAAATAAAGATACAAATAACTTGTAACCGGTCAAAAATATTACATACTGCACAAACGTCTTAAGGGAATACTCTGTCAATATAATTTCAAGTTTTAAACATGTAAAATGAAATGTACTGTGTTCATATAGATAAAAAGAAATGCACATACACACACCTGACATATCATATTTCACAACAACCAACATACACAGCATTCAAATAGTAAAACTACAGTACAAGCTATTGCAATATAGATATTGACATTTAACAGTTTGCCTATAGCGACGGCACTGAAGGAATAACACAGTCTCAGCCCATACAAACTAGCATTATCACTACAAATGAAATACAATGTTTTTTTTTCTTTAGCTCAGTTTGCAAAGACTTGATTTGTCACTGCTGGCAAAGTCAAGATCTCTTCTTGCTCTACACGTTGCTTTGTTAAAATGGGAACTCTCAGGCACTTTCCAAAAGTAGGGCAAGGCTTGTACTGAACAGACCTCAAATTGGCTAAGACAGAAAGGACTTTAGCTTGTGCTGCATTCACGTCATATGGGAAAAACCAACCTTCCTAAAAAATACTCTTTAAAAATACTGTTCATTTAATAAATACTACTTTGAAATTCAGGAGTGGCGGTGGACTGAATCCAGATTTTATGATCTGATCAAGGAAATTGCTTCAGTTTAGGAAAATTCAATTATCACTGCAAAGAAAAACAAAATAAGTATCATTTACTTTGCTGGATTTGGTTTGGTGTAAAACATGAACTCAAATAAGTGCATCTGCGTTGAGAGTGGAAAAACATCATCAAGGCAACTGAAGTCTTCAGAAAACTTCAATCACGGCATCTTGACGGCTTCACATGATGAGGTTTCAACATGTGCCCGTGTCCAAGTTGTCCCTTTTAGCCTCTGCGGCGTCTCAACAGATATTCCCATATGACATGACTGCAAAATAAGACATGATGGCCAAGTAGAGGGCTTGAATCACTCTATGGTAATGGAAGCCAGCTCCTTGGCCTGGGCATGCTGCTGCTGCTGCTCCTCTTCAAGCACCTCTGGGGAACTGCCTCCTACACTGTTGTCCATCTTGGTCTCCTCCGTCATGACTGCCGTCTCATCGGCGTCCATCTTGAGGGAGGCTGGGGCTTCCAGGGGATCCAGGGGCTCGGGTGAAAGGAAGCCGGAGGAATTCTCGCAATTCTGGGTAGAGGAGGAGACCTGGGAGATGACGGGCATCTGGACTGAGGAGGAGGACGAGGCCGCAGTGGTGGTAGAGGTGGAGGTGCTGCCCGGGTAGACAGGGTGATGTTGGGACTCCTCTAGCTCATACTGGACTCCCAGCGCCTCCTCCTCCTCCTGTACCTGGCTCAGGTAGTCGGGCACGAGGAAATCACTGCAAAGACGAAGACAATGGTTTCAATGTCCTTTCATTTGCTACCTTGTCACAATTTAAACTGTATATTTTGACAATTTAAAAGATATTATATTCACAAATATGCAGTCTCAGGTTAAAGGGATAGTTCGGGTATTTAGAAGTGGGGTTGTATAAGCTACTCATGCACAGTCAGTGTGTCACCTCCAGTAAATGGTGGTCAGTGTGCCCCCAGTTTGGAGAAGCAGACAGGAGTCCCAGCACAGAAGCAGAGTAATGCCCTGCTGTGGATGGGGGCTGCAGAAACATGTATTTTAGCCACATAAAAAAATCAATATCTGTTTAAGTGTATACTATATTAAGAATATTTTCACAGCTTTACCTCACCGTCAGACATCTTTTTCTTTGACACCAACCGTAGAACTGTATTCCTACGCATGAGCTGAACTCTGCCACGTAGTTTATTATGCCAGTGATCGACTACAAGGATGCACCTTTGAAATCTTTAGAAACATGAAGTTTGATTTTATTTCATTTGACCCAAACAGCTAATTGGTGCAGTTCTTTGCTTAATGCCAGAGAAGAAGGATGTCTGACAGCAAGGTAAAGCAGTGAAAACATTCTTAATATAGCATACACTTAAATAGATATTGATTTATTTACTTTTTTAGAGGTTAATCATTTTTCTGCAGCCCCTGTCCACAGCAGTACAGTGCTGTGCTGGGACTCCTGTCTGCTTCTCCAAACTGGGGGCACACTGACCACCCTTTACTGCAGGTAATACACTGACTATGGACTTAAAAAAACTATGATTTTGGAACTATGTGCTTAATGTCTTCAGAAAACCCCCCCCAAAAAACAGATTTAGACTTTGTATTTAGTGACTAGAGGATATGAATACTAGGGACAGTATACGATATTTTTGCATATTGTGATAATCCTCACGATATTCATGTCTCAATCGCTAATATACAGAATGTAAGGCAAAGGGATTCCAGGAGGTTTTTGTGCCATTTTAAGAATTTTAAACATATTTTGATGATTATCGAGATAATATAGTGAACTGCAGTTATTTGGGGATAATCGTGACATAAAATGTTTATATTATACAATTCGTAGTCAATACAAATGCATCGCATTGCATAATGCCTAATTAGAAAAAGGTACATGGATATACAAGAATTAGTGCGTGTCGACACCAATATGGCTGCTGTCTCAACTCTGTGATGAAATTCTATACGCAAACGTATTCCCAGTCTAGCTTGGTCAGTCTAGCTTGGTCTCACTTGTCATGTGATAATACCATATTTCAATCCCTATGACAGAAAATGTGTGAGTGCACAGACTGACTTTGATTGTAAACTAGATTTATCAGAGTTCCCTGTCCTGCAGCATACATGTACAGACTATCAAACAGTGGGAAATGGAGCTCAGTATCCAGAATAAATAGTTAAGTACGAGTCTAACTGTCCTCTGTGGCACCGATGACAGCCGAATCTGACAAACTGCTCTGCAAATCAGCAACTTAGAAAAAAAATACAGAGTAGTTAACATATCTTTTTATGTGAAGACTGAGGATGGGAGTTAAGAGTCTAACTGGATTGCCAGAGAATTTTCCACACTGTTATGATCTCAGGCGTAGACCTTCTACTATAAAACCTTTGAGGAGTCAATGGCCCGTTTGAGTCCTGCCGACCTGTGAGGGCTTGAGTTGATTAAGAAGTGGAAAAGTCTGGGAAATAAAAACACTCCTCGACTTTATAAAGACACTGTGTTCTGACTTTCACGAGGCTTTGTGGGCTGAGCTGCTGATAAAAACAAACAACCCACTCCGTTTGGTTAAGGAAAATCCATTCATATAGCAACAAATAGAGATGACAAAATGATTTAAGTTGTGTTTTGCAGCTATTGTATGACTATTGTTTTAAAGGTGTAACTCTCATGAGCAAAGAGTATGAGTATAAAATGAGTGATTTAAACAACCCTGGTGTTATCTATGGTCTTTTATAACACTGTACAGTTGAGTTCTACAACTGGCAGTTGTATTCAGAAAACTTAACTCACTTAATTCTGTCTACTCGATAACACATATCTTCACATCTCTGGCATTTTGTCAATAAACAGAGCCGACTCGGACTTGCCATCTCCTCTTAATGATGACTGTTAAAGGAATAGTTCAACATTTTGGGAAATGCGTTCATTCACTTTCTTCCTGAGAGATAGATGATCGATACCACGCTCATGTCAGTAACGGAAATATCAGTCCCAGTCTTGCAATCGCAACAATTTATGCAAATTCAGCCAATCCCTGTTAATTCTGTGCAACCTTGCAATTTTGTACAATCAGTGCAACTTTTCCACAAATTTGACAACTCACTGTAGTTTCCCACAAGTTTTCACCAATCATTGCAGTCCCAAAACGTTGAGCCACACGTCACCAAACTAGCGATTTTATTCTCACTGGAACAAGTTGCCGTTCATTTTTAATTTTTAATGAATTATAAAAAAGTCAAGTATTTTTTGCTACTTTCACTTTCACATGCAAAATAACTGCAAAACAATGGCTTAAAGACATCACAACATGCATCGAATTTTTTCAGAATAGCTGCTGTGAAATCAGGCATTTTAGGCCGCAACAATAACTAAAAAATCCTGGAAGAACTGAAATATGAAGCTACAGTCAACAGCCAGTTAGCTTAGCTTTGCATAATTGGTCCCAGCCAGGATATAGTCCTGTTTTTAGTCCTGCTCATCATAACCCGCAGTAAAGAGTGAATTAGCATTTTTTAATTGTTTAACCTGTAAAGACATGGCAAACAAAACATAATGTGTTAATTAGTGAGTTTAAGAGGATCTGGTAGGTATATTCTGTGACGTTTGAACAGAGACGGGCCAGCTCTTTTTCCAGTCTTAATGCTAAGCTAAGATAACTGGCTGCTGGCTGCAGCCACATACTCACAGAACAAAGAGTGGTATCAATCTTCTAATTTAAACTCATGGGAAGAAAATGAACAACCACATTTTCCAAAATGTCAAACTATTCTTTTAAACAAGTGAAATTAAAACTCCCCACTAAATACAGTCAAATACTTCAGGTACACTTGATCTGGGCATTCAAATCAACTGCAATCATCTCAAAAACAGTAGTAGTCATAAAAGGAAAAAAACGATCAAATGAACCTCAGGTATTAGAATCTAAACTGAAGTTATTTTCTGATCCAGGTGAGATCTGAGTAAATGATGGGGGTCAGCGCCCCCAGACTCCTCACCTGCTCTGGAAGTAGTTTGCTAGTTCGGATGCCTCATGGTTCAGACTCCTCAGGTGTACAATTAAATTGCCAGAGTTGGTGAACATGGCCCCGCACGTTTTGCACTCGTAAATCCGCGGCTTGCGGATTATGTGTCGGGAGACCCTCATGTGGTGCTTATATTCACCGAAGGACGTGAATGTGGCGCTACAAATCTGGCACCGGAAACAGCGTTTACCTTCGTGCTTCAGCCGATGCATCTTTAGGGAGTAGGCCCGTGTGAACTTTTTCCCACAGCGGTCACACTGGAAAGGCTTAATGCCTGAGGGAGGAAGAAAAAATAAAGTTCAGCCGATCTGTACATCAGCATCAAGTGTTACTATCGGAGTGTGGCTGAGCTGAGCTGAGCTGAGGTGAGGTGAGGTAAGGGGGGGGGTAATGACTACATCTTACCACAGAGTCAGCCGTAACTGTTTTCCAAATCACAGTTTCCCAGAATGCCCGGAACAAAAAGCCATTTATTCATCACTAAGCTATAGGAAAGTACAGCAACCCAAGATCATTTAACCTTTTATTTAGATTTCCACTAGATACTGTGCTAATGATAATAACAACTCTCTATGTATGACTTTTGGTGGATTCCATCTCACTTTTTAACTAAATCTAAAATGTAAATACACAGGTATTTGTTAAGCTCCAACTCTAATGAATCTCTTATTAAATAGTGTAATGTATGCAATCATTAAGCTAAATAGTGAATATGTAATCTCTTTGGTAAAATTTGAGTCTTAGCTCTTTGAATATCAATCTTTGAACTTTGGCTCTTGTTTCTCTGACAAACTACCTACCAAAACAGATTCAATGAGGGACTCAAAAGAAATTACTTTTTTCACACTACTTTTTGAAAGACAAAATACATATTTACATATTTTGTAGCCGTACCATTGGGGGGTTAACGGTACGTGTAATCATCCTGAACCCTTCGGGACTGGAAGTTTGGTTTGGTATGTGACTTCCTTGGTTCCGTATGCCCTGTGACCCAAACAATTACTGTCAAAACAGTCTATTTATGTCTGCTACTTGCAAACGTGGATTGGAAATTCTAGAGCAAGTAGCATGCTAGTCGGCGTAGCCTTGTTAACCAAGTTAACCAAGCTCATGTAGTGTCCCTGCCATCAAAATGGCAAATACAAATGAGAGACAAGTGCTGGAGGATCCCCCCATGATGATTAAGATTCACTGTATAGGAGCATTATGGTTTCCCAGTTAGTTACAGTGAAAATGGACAACGATTAGTGTCAAACCGTATGCTGACACTGTTCAGCTTAGGTAAGGTATGTCTGTGGATACGTCTTTAAATATTTACGACAGCATCCCCCAAATGTGTTGTGTTAGTGAAATGAGACAAAAAAAGACCAGATGGCAAATCCTACTCACATTTTGTGTACTGTTACACCACTACTTTCCATAGTGTTGCACCAGCCAATCACAGTCATGTTGAGTGAATCACACTGACTCGTGCTTTACTTTGTTTTTCACGAAGAAACAACTCTGAACCCTCCCATCATTTTACACAGCAGAGGAAAGATATTCACTTCTCAGTAAATGTGACTAATTTTATTATGAATGATATGATTGGCACTCCACTTCTAGTAATTTCACTGCCATTTAAAGGAAATATACACATAAAAAAAACTACCCATATATACTTACACGTTTCCCACATTTTGTTATGTAGGCCTTGCTAATTGTATATCCATCGATCTACCTATCCATCTGGATGTTCTCTCTGACCTTTCTTTTTGTGTGGTTACAATCCATACCAGACTAATTAAACCGCCAGAGTTACTGGGAACTGTTGGTAGTTAAGCAATATTTTATTTGCCAACCATAGGCCTATGTTCCTACACCAAGTTGAGAAGTTTGCTGAGTTATGTAGATTTCATGGCTTGTGTTTTGCTCTGATGTGCATTTCAAACTGGCTGGCCCTGTATAACCAGGTTTGTATCTTAATAAATCATAACAATCAATGTTATTTTCCACAGATAAGACTGGAGTCTGTAGATTTACCTGCTCCATGCTGTCCTTCTACTGAGCCAATAGCCACTACATTGATAACTTAAAGGATGGATCCCAACTGATTCCACATAAAAGGTTGCTTCTGGGTTGTCCATATTCTTAGTCATTTTTTCATGTTTCTTCGATTAGACATTCAAGCCTTGCCTTCCTATATAATTGTTGAGGTTTAAAATATCGAGTATAGAAAGAAGCCTTTGACAAAGAAGTGACAAAATCAGATATGTTGTAGATGTTTTAAATGACTAAAATACTACTTCTGTCAAACTCAAACTGTAAGTGCATTGTAAGAGTTTTCAAATGTAAAAATACTTTTAAATTTTGGAACACTTTTCCAGAGGAATAACAATACACCAACTATGAACAAAATGGCCAATACAAGCAAAGCTAAGAAGTATATATCAACAAGGTTTGGATTTTGTGCCCTTTCAATCCCAGGATATTTGCTCAGCTACAAAACCTACTTGGCATTGTTTCACAAACTCACTCAGTTGTCTGATGTCACAAAACATTTTAAATGCAAGATTAAATCCAACAGTGTTGTAATAGGAGTAAAGAACGCCAACATGGTAATTGTACAATTTCTACATGATCTAAAAATAAGCGAGGACAGAACATCCAAAACATCATGCTTTCAAAAAGTTCCTCTGAATATGCAAGACAAAGATAAATGGTTTTCACCCTGTTGGAGATTTTTTTCTCCTTTTATTTAAAACATTGACTATGAATGTAATTTGCCTTTTTACACCAATAAACATAACAACAAAGAAATATTTCATGTGTGATCTAAATAACTCCAACACATTTTCACTATGATGCACCTTAAAGGGTTCTACACAGCACAGTGGTGCTTACAGGTGTTGGGGAGCACTACATGAGTGAAAAAAGTTTTATAAAGCCTACAGGAACTGCACAAAGTCTGATAAATGTCCTCAAGTGATGTCACTTGAGTCAGTATGAGTGGGGCTGAAGACTTAAGTCTGAAAATGAAAAGAATCTCTGACCCAACTGACAGCAGTTGAGTTGCATTGTGGGTAATGTGGGCCCCAGCTTTTGACAAAGAGAAATAATGCATGGAACTGATTTTGAATTGAATCTATTTTTCTAACTAACAAGTCCAATAATATTATTAGGGTGTAATGCCAAGAGCACTCCCACTTTGCCAGTTGTTCTCAGAACTTATATTATACCCGATAGACCAAAAAGATCAACCGATTCAACATTTTATTCAACAGTCTGTTTCTCTCAATCAGTGGGAAAAAAAGCTTAATTACATTGACATTCCAAAGCTCAATAGGTAAAGCTTTATTCAATCTGAAGTTCACGTTCATTTTCCCCCATTTCACGTACCGGAGTGTATGAGCATATGCTGCTTCAGGTTTTGAATGCGCGTGAATCTGACTCCGCAGGTTGGACATTGGAAGGGCCTGTCGGGGCCATTGGTGCCAGGCCTGGCTGAGGGGCTGATATAGAGGTGGTATGGGTACTGAATACCTTCTAATCTGAAACACAAAGAGGAGAAACGTCAAAGCTTGCATGTTCTCTTATCAAGTGTAAACCTATCGTGGCGTCATCCATTGGTTTGTGGAGCCTCCAGTTCGCCGTTTTGGCCTCCACCCTGACAGTTAGACGGTGCCAGCGTGAGCAAGCAGAACGTGATGTACTGTGAGTTGATTAGTTTGATCTGAGTTCGGTGTGTTGAGCTGGACGGACTCACTGAGAATGAGCTGTCAATTACAAGGTAGCCCCGCCCTAAAGCATACCCTGCTTTATATCTTTTCTTTATATCTCTAAATGGGACCATCATTTACTAAATGAACATCATGTTGTATGGAAGAAGACTGAAACTAGAGATTGAGACCATAAACTCATTAAGAAACTGTTTACTGAGCTCATAAATCAAGTGTCCAGTCGGCTCATTCTCCATTAAAGTGAATGGGATCGCTGTGTTATTGCAGCCAATGGAGCTCCCCCTGCTGGCTTTACAAAGAATGCAGGTTTAAGACACTTCACGTTAGCTTCACTTTTCAGACCTGGAAGCTCTGTCCATTATATATATATATATACAGCCAATGGCTCTTACTTACATTGAAAAATGAAGCTTTCCCCTATAATAATTCATAAAAACATCTATGTTGACATGTCAACAAAACAACTCTCAGACAAAATAAAATCAAACATTTTGAGAGTGTAAAAAAAGCTTGCTATGAACTATGTAAAGCAAATGGTTTAATTAAGGCAAATGTTGTTTCAGAACATTTTGTCTAACACTGAGTTGTTAGTGATGATGGTGATATGGGTCAGATTGTTTGACGATCATAGATTTCCAGACACCACGTTTGCTTGCACATAAAATTTATCACGCATGTTTATGGCTCCAGGCTCTTACAGTTCTTCATATTACAGTTCATCATGTCTTTGACATTTCAACATGACGTCTAAATTTATTATCTAAACAGGTGTGGCTCAGACACCCGGTTGTGAGGTTTATGTCTATATATTCTTTACCACTTATGACTTGCCTTGCTGCAAGTTGTAACAAATCATGATACCTTTCATCATCTTCTGCATGTCCTCCAGTGTTAGAGGTGCTCTGCATTGACGGCAAACCCTCAGACACTCCCTCATCCATAGACCCTGGAAAGGGGAAGAAAAAGAATTACTCACATGGTAGCTGTCTATTGAATTTTTTATTGACTACTTAATAAAGTCTAGAGCATGTCATCTTGGATGGGGTTAGACTAATATACTGTAGGTCTTTGAGGCCTAATCCCATATTTAAGGACTGATGCTGCTGGATTCCAATTCACTGTGCTATTCAGCAGTTTAGGAAAAAATTACGAGTGTTTCCATTTTCTTTTAATTTATGGCAGGGCAGAAAAGCCTTTCAAACGGCATTTGGGCCATCGGACAATTAAACTTTCCACTGAGACTAAAACAAATAAAACTCTTGTAGGTAGGTGGGTAGGCAGCTCTGATTGTTGTCGTCACAAAGTGACAGAGTTAATTGGGTCAGGACACAGCCTCTATCATTACAGTGATACATACACTACTACACTAAAGTGCCAATATGTGATTTACCTGTATCTTTAAGCCAATATATCCATGTACTTACTGATTAATAGTCAAGTTTTTAAATTTTTACTCAACAAATCACGCATGCATAAGTCCCGCCACTACCCTTTACGGTCTTGTGCAGCACTATGCAGTTTCTAATAACAGTGGCAGATGTAAACAACTACTGTGAATTTGTCGTCTGAATGGAATTGCAATCTTAAGATAAAAGACTGAGGCTGAGGCTAAATGTCCCAGGCAGAGTCAGCATCCCCACTAGTCCTTGCTGAAGACATGGAAGTACAGAAACAGCATTGTTCTTGCCTCGCATGGTAAAACTGAGTAGCCCTAGTTTAAGAGTGCAGAGGTAACTTGTTTGTCAGGCCAAATGGCTAGTAAATGGTCTAACTGTAATCAGCCACTCAACAGATTATCATTGTTTTTTGGCTAGTGAGTGAAGCAAATCATACTAAAACATACTTGAAATCTTTAACAGCAGATTCGAGAATGAGGAATAACCATTAAGTCTGGCAAACATAAAACTATCTGACACAATTAAGGGGGAGTTGATGGAATTTGGATACACTGTATTGGAGCCTTAAGATTTCCCGGTTAGTTACAGGGAAAACTGACAATCATCTGCCTTGTTACTGTTGCTAACTAATTATTCAACAATCATGGTTCTGTTTAGTGAGTGGACAATTATAAATGCTGTTAGGTAAGGAGAATAGCACCACCTATAGAAGAGGACTGTGGACTGATGAGGAGCTCCTCCTGGACCTGCTCACTCCCTGGCACCGTCTGTTGGTCACTCAGCGAGCTCTGGGAGGCACTGACTGGCTGCGAGGATGCTTCTTGGACCTCCTCGTCACTGAGACGCTCCACCTTCACTCTCACATCTTCCTCCTCTGCCGGCACTGGTGACGAGACTGCCTTGGAGCTCTCACACGTTAGGAAGTCACTGAGCCGCCGGCCAACTACAACCTCTGAGGTCCCTGGGGTGCCCTGCTCTAAACAACGAGGGCTCTCCGGGAGCTTTGATTTGTCTGAATGGAACCTCCGGTCGATACCGAATGGGAAAGTCCATGGGAAGGCCAGGGAAGACTCCACAGGTTGGGCTGTGCTGTCTGAGAATGAAGGGGATGGGTTGGGGATCTGAGGGGAGGTGGTGACCATCTGTGTAGTGCATTTGAGCGGACTCTCGGGTGATGCCATTGTCACAAAGCTTTTACGTTTTCGTCGCGATTCGCGGCATATAGGAACATTTCTCTCCATCACGCTGCAGTCAGACGACACAGGTGACACGCTGCCGTCCAATGGTGTCAGGGCACAGTTTGATGAGGCGCTCTCTGGTGCTGATTCGTGCGGTTTATCTCCCGTCAAGTTGTTGTTGTTGTTGCTGTTACCTGGGCTCCACAGAATACTGGACTTCATGAACTCCGAACATGTGCTGGCCACAGCAAACATCTGCATGTAACTTGCAGCTGCCAGAACGTCGATGATATTCTCCGTGCTAATGGATAGGGTAGACGTGTAGGCATATTCCAACAGAGGAGCGAAGCCACTGACGGTCACATGATGAAGGTCCAACACAAACTTGTCCTCCTCCTCAGACCGGCCCACCAGTTTGGAGCGGAAGAATTCACTGCAGCAGGCCAGGACCACTTTGTGGGCCAGGAAGAGCTTGTCTTGGACCCGGATGGTGACATCACATAAGTGACCCTCGTTGCGTAAAGCGTTGAGCTTCTCCAGCATCTCCTGGCTGTGGGAGGTCGAGCTGTGGGTGAAGGTTTTGACCCCCATGTTGGAGTCAGTTTCTGACTGTGTACAGGAAATGCCTCCTGCAGAAAAATGGAGAAAAAACAAAACCCTTCAGTTTGCACAAAACTAAACCACATGAGCTGTATGTCAGGAGGAAAAGAAAGAAAGTAGATCAGTGTTAACAAAAATATTTTTCTACGCTTTGTTATTCTTTTGTGTCAAGTTCTTTACACCATTATAGTTTGTATATAGCAATGTCAATGTGTCTAATGATTACCTAACTAAACAAAATCCAGCCCTAGCAGATAAAGAATCAGGTGTGAAATAACAAATGTCACAGTGGACTCCTCCTCTCCATTAGAAATTAAGAAGCACAAAGACAGAATGAGATGTCACATATCACTCTGCAAGACTGGATGAAAAGAGGCATGTGCATTGTGGAAAGCAGTGGGTGTAGGTAGAGAAATACTAAGGTGCTCTGTGAGAGGAAGGCAAGGCAAGGGGGGGTGAAAGCAGGGTAAGGAGCACAGAGGACAAAATGCCAAGTTACGTAACAACAATCAAAGCAGATGCGCAGCGATGCGAGCCAGACCCATGTGGAGGCCAGTGCACTACAGGATGCTCAGCAGCTGTCTGCGAGACATGTGGATTCTCTGAGGCATGAGATTTTCCATCAAACAAAAGCTCAAGTAAAGGGGCTCTCGCAGGGAGAGCGCACTCCCCTTTACACACACACAGACCAAAGGAAAATACTCTTGGGCTATGTTGGCCCAGTAAAGGCAAAATGAATTATAGACCTGGGCTGTGGAGGTGCAACAGGAGAGTGCCTAGGCTGCACCAGCAAACAGGGTTACAAGAAAAGAGCTTTAATTCCACCATGGGGTTCTCTCAAGGCTAAAATATCTCCTGTAGGAGAACTATTTAGCTACATGATCTCTATTCAGTTGTTCCTGACAAAGAGGAATGTTCATGCAGAGTACATGAACTTGAAGGAGAAGTGATGCAAATTAAATACGGTCTGATGTTTAAAAAAATATACTAATGTACCCTCTGGCATTTGTCTTTAAGAAAGGATACATACTACAAAATTCTGTTTGACATTCTACAAAAATGTCAAACTTTTTAGAGCTGCAACAATTATTTTCATTATCAATTAATCCATCAATCATTTTCTCGATTAATCAGTTAGTGGTTTGGTCCATAAAATGTCTGAGCCTGAGGTGGCGTCCTAAAATGTTTGTTTTGTCCACAACCCAAATATATTCAGTGTATTGTAAAAGAGGAATAAAGAAACCAGAAAATATTCACATTTTAGAAGCTGAAATCAGACAATTTCGACATTTTTGAAAATGATTAATTGATTACCAAAATAGTTAGCGATTAATTTAATAGTTGACAACTAATCTTTTAATCAACTAACTGCTGCAGCTCTCAAGTAAAAACAAATATACTTTGCATTGCTTTTTTTTTTTTAAATTAGTGACTAATAACTTACGACAGTATCAACACGTCACCAGTATGAGCCGGTAAAGGCTTTAATATGAAATACAAAAATACAGCCCGAAATTAACTGCAGAAATGACAGGTCGATAAGACAATGCTTGAATTATGCGCACTTGACGCGAGAATGCCTGCAGTGTGGAGGATTTTTGAGTGTCTGAAATGGATGTTGCTATTGCAACAACTGCTCAGAGTCGGTCACGCTTGGAGGAGCCAAATCACATTCCCTTACTGCCCATCCTAAGAGCTGTCATCCCGATCATTACGACAATTTTGTGTAGAACCAATAGAAATAGGCACCAGTGAAATAAACCTGAAAGCAGTAGTTTTCTTATTTTGTCCAGTGAATTCTGAAAAGCATTGCATCTTATGTCTGCATCTGCCTTTGGACCATCATGATAAGAGTAGGTATAATAATGTTTCCCACTACTGGAGATACTTGGTCTCTGCATCTGCAATGGACAAAAATTTGTTGGAAAATATTGGCGTATGGGCAAAAATCATACAATGACATGCTGTTCACCAAGAAAAATAATATGTGAGGATTAGCTGATTGTTTCTGTTTCACTTCATTATACAATGAACATTTTGTTTTCTTCTTTGGGTGATATAAGCCATTTGAAGACATCACTGGACCATTTGTTTTGATCAGTTATTACCATTTTATACAACTGTAGATCAGCTGATTAACCAGTGACTTTGTAACTAAGAGTCAGCAACAACAGTAAGAAAACTACTCAAATTTGGCACAAACATGATGATGGCGATAGGGCAGAGGAGGCGTAGTCTTCAATCTGGTACTTTTACTGTGTTTACATCACGTACTAGCAAGAGAACACAAGCGCTGGGCTGAAACACATTACAGAGTGCTGATAGTCAAAGTGCACCCACAATGCACAGAGGCTCTATGTCTGTACGGCGTGGGGGCTAAGTATCAAGTGAGCAAGATGTTGAACAAACATGTTTGCAACAACACTAGCTAACGGTGTCAAGCCATCACGCCAAATCAACCAAGAGATGAAAAGTAGATCCGATTTCCTGTCAAAATAAAAGACAAGTGTCCATACTGAGATGCTTTTTAGCTTGGTGTTTGATTTAAAACGAATAGAGTCGTGCTCAAACACTGCAGTGTATGAAAGTATGTTATTGGAATATCTACTCCTTTCATTGACTATTCATATTAAGATTCCATTATTACCAACAATTTGGATGGTACTTAAAGTTAAAACAAGATCGTTTAAGAAACTATCCTTCATCACTTGCAGACTGACCCGTGTTATTATAAAAAAAGTTCTGTTCCTGTACTACAACTATATTTTCCATTTCCAATGTACTGATACATACATTCAAACATTAAAATACACACAACAAACTTTTTATGAAGTAGCGAAAATAAAGAATTCAATTTACCCCATTTATTTTGAAGCCGAATAAACTTCATTTCCGGTTTGCCCGTGGATAACCCTGGACACGTCGACGTAGTTGATGTACATTAGCTAACTGTCGTTAGCAACCAAGCTAGCGCTAGCTGACACAGCACAGTACGATTAGTTGGTTCCTCTGCCTTCACCAACGCGTCAACAACAATGTAGCCGAACTAAAGGGTTCACAGCGGGGTTATTGTTATCAGACAGACTGTGCGAAGGGAATTTACCTTCTGGGAAGAGGCCCGCGATAACGGCTGGGCCTCGGGATGCGAACAGCTCAGACAGCGGTGCGCCCTGCCGCGTCCCTCCGACCACTCACATTCCCTGCGCTTCTCAGGCAGTTGTCAGCCTGCCAGCCGCCTAAACTCACACTTTAATTAACGCTCACATGAATTCACATCACAACAGGCTGAAGTTAAAAGTTCTCCAGGTGCTGTTTTCATTCCTTTGTGCTCCCCGCTGTCCTTTCTGCGCTGTATTTGTATCCCCACAATGCAACGCGCATCTCTCACAGTACTGTACTGTAAGAAGCAGGAAGTGTCACATCTAGCAACAACACAGTGCTCAGGAATTCCCACTGTTTATATTTATTACCATACAGCTTATGTGGCCTTCTGTTAACTGTTAATATAATCATAACATGCACCAATGTGTTATGTGCTGTGAATATATTGGTTTTCTTCATATTTTATGTATATTATATTCTATTATTATATTTCTTATCTATTTAGACTTTTGGAAAATATTATTTTACACCTACCTCAGTTCTTAGGGACATGAGGACGTACAATGTGTTCATACTGCCCCACATCCTTTTTTTTTCCTACTTTCTTTTTATTATTCATTTTAATGTTTTAGATGTTTTCAAGTGTCTTCAATACTTTTACTTTTTGCTGAAAATAAACCAAAACAATTCTTCACATGACCGTGTTCCCTATTTTTTAGTTCCTATTTTATATTTCTCAGTGTCAGACACAGAAAGACTTCCCCCAGCTCAAATTCGCAGTAATGGAAATAGATTTCTGTCCCTGACAAAACATGATATGTTGTATTTTATAAATATATTAAAATGTTGTCAATAATTGGAGACAAACCTAATTCTGATGATACTATGGGCCTGTTGGTATTGTATTTCTAACCCATTATGATTTTCACATCAGCTCAGTCAGCTGTGAATTGAATAAGACTTCCATTAAAAGTAGGATATTGTTAAGTCACTGTTGTCTGTTAAGTGGAGGTTCCTCCAAACCCACAGCTACTGAGTATGTTTTTATATGGCTGTCTTTATTTCAGATGTCTGAGCTGAGTTATTCCAATGTGGGAGTATTTTACTGAACATCTTAAGGGTTTTCAGTTTGTAAAACCAGCAATGAAATCCGCCTCACCCTGCTTTTAAATGCTGCCTACCCACCTACAAGAATTCCATTAGTCTGGCATTCATTGGTGGGTTTCAGTGGCCCACAATAGTCTAAAAGTGTGCTCTGGTAAACATGGAAAACTTGAACACTTGTTTGGAATGTATGGGTCATTATGGCTTCTCCTGATATTGGCACGATTGTTGATATGCACCCACCAGTCTGGACACAAGAATCCTTAAGTAATGAAGCCTTTGTGCACAATAGAGCAGATGAAAGACATTTGGAGAAATGTTGCACAAAGTTTCCTTTTTGTTCTCAAGTTAAAATAAAAGAGTCATGTACTGACATAAATGTGTTTATTTGACCATTTTTATAGACAAAAATCTCAAAGACAGCAGCACCTGCCATGTTAATTACACGTCCAAGGTAAAAACTTTACAAAAATAAATAGCTTAAAAAGGAAGCTGTAATAATAAAATAGTATGGTCCTTCACTGAAGGGATATAGGCCTAATGCTTCATCTCTTTTGTTTTATAACATACTGTAAATTAACAACAGGAATGAAGAAATCAAATATACATACAAGAAAACTGAAAACAACTGTGAGTGTTTGCATATGATGCATTAACAAATAAAAGTCTGGAAATGAATAAAATTAATGTTATTTTTCATATACACGATAGATAGTATGCTTATCACTTAACTTAGTAATAACACCTCCGAAGAAACATTTGTTGCATTGCAGATTGTTTGTACCACTGTTACTCTCAACGGCTTTATAATGCACCTGGGAAAAGGAGAAAACTAAACTATAGGGCAGAGGGAAAGTCTCTGTCATGGGTTTTTTCGGTCATGACTGGCCAGTCATTATCTAGACTAATTCTTTTTACACACCGTGTAAACTCAGATTTCTATCAATTCTACACGTCTAGTTTGGCATTGAAACAATCTGTTCTGATGTAGGCTCTAACTAGTACAAGTTAATATCAGATTTAACGTCACTCAATGGTTTCCCCATAGTTCGACCATGCTATGTTTCAGGATAAAAACGTGACATCATCACAATCATTTAACACAAGTCACATTTTGGTATGTGTGTAGAAAAGAGAAGCAATCAAACAGGAGCGCACTTCCCAGAGACTTAAAATCCCAATACATCAATCGTATGTACATACCCCAATAATAGGTAAATGGCTCGATCAAAACTTTGTAGGGGTTTGAGTTCTGTGGAAGATAATTGGAGGTATATTTACACTGTGCTGGTGTTTGACAGCAGGTTTCATGCCATTGCTCTAGCCCCAATATAAGCGACAGCTAACTTAAAAAGACATACTGAAATAGATTATATCAGACTTCAGTCAAAAAGTTAGTTTCTATTCAAAGTGGGACTAGAAAACTTCTCTTTCGGGAGAAAACACACACACAGCACCTTCATCTAGCATCTATACATGGCATTACATGTACATCCTGAGGTAGATTTCCATTGTTTCAATTCTCAATAGTGGTTGTCAAATGTCAACAAAAGATGACAAAACAATATTCAGGCAAATGCCCTTAATGGGACTTGATGCAACCAGCTGGTAACATGGATGGATTATGAGACAATGGGCTCCAGGGCACAGACACACACAGTCGAACCACATTTTGAGTCACAGAGACACAAAACGACCTCGAGATGTTTGTAGTTGTCTTTACACTTACTTTACTTTACAGTCATTTTGTGTCTGATTGTGGTCGTTTTGAGTTTATTTTTTGTTGTGTCTCTGAAGTCATGTTATGTCTCTTTGTGGTCGTTTTGTTTCTCTTTGTTGTTTTGTGTCTCTTTGTAGTCATTTGTGTCTCTTTGTGGTCGTTTTGTTTCTCTTTGTTGTTTTGTGTCTCTTTGTAGTCATTTGTGTCTCTTTGTGGTCGTTTTGTGTGTCTTTTTTAACACTCATTTTTGTGATTGTTTTATGTCTCTTTGTTGTTGCATTATGTCTTTTTGTGGTCGTTTTGTGTCTCTTTGTGGTCATTTTGTGTCTCTTCCCCCAAACCCCTTGGGCTTCTGTGCCCCTGTGCCCATTCAATAATCCATCCATGGTTGGTAAGTGCAGTCCGACCATAAAGGGAAAGTTCGCTGTACTCATGTTCCTCATAAGCACTCTTGGTTGAGACATTCTCCGGAGACTGGCTCTGGAATTTTACTTGGATTGCACTTCTCTGGCTCAACAGTCTTCCCAGTGTAGTCTATGCAGAAGACGCTGCGACGGCGCTCCCCCTGACCACAAGTTCGTGAGCAGGCGGACCACGGTCCCATCTGCCATATGGGGCATGGCAGATCCCCACAAGGCCTGATGTCTACTGGCTTCAGGTCTTTGTCGCACTGGCTGGAGAGGAAGCCTGCGCTGTCTCGGCATTCAACGTTCCTCCTGGACCATCCGGAGCCACAGCTCTTGGAGCACTCAGACCACTCCCCCAGCACCCAGTCAGTCACGCCAAATGGATGGATAATATGCAAAGACGATGAAGAACCCTTCTTTTCCTTGGATTTGTTGAAGGTCACATCTCTAGGGATGAAAAAGGTATATTTGACCTTGGGAGGGTTGGCGTCCCCAGCTGTGGCGAGGAGTTGGATGGTGATGGCCTCCTTCAGCTGCCTGAAGCTCTGGATCCTCTCCAGCGTGGTGGAGGAGCCGCTGTACTTTAGCACAGCACCCAACGCCGGGATGTCCTGCTCCACCGTGGATACAGAGAAGTTCCCATTGAGGATGTAACCACCACTCTCTCTCTTTATAGCCAGGTAGTTCCCATCATGTTTGATTCCTCTGTGGCTCCGCTGCTTGATGTCAATGTTAGTAGCGCCAACAGGAATCGTGACAATGTCACTGTATCCATAGCTGGTAGAGAAAACAGAGGACTGCATTTAGATAATTGGAATACTATGTTTTCTTATTTTAAATAGTTCAACAGTTTGGGTCGTATTCTATCTTCCTGAGAGTTAGATGAGAAGTTAAGTAAGTGGGGGGAAAGTAGTAAGCCCTGGCTTTCTCAAAAATAAAAAACAATCCATCTACTAACACCTGTAAAGCTCACTACTTAGTCCAATAGTGGCTAGCACACAGACATGAGATTGGTTTTGATCTACTCGCTCATCTAACTCTCAGTGAATACGAGTATTTTTGACAATGTTCTGTTTCTTTTCAGGTATACGTGTTCATTCCTTTGTTCCTTTTTTGACTAGCTCTTTTATTAGCTCCTTTTATCCTATCTTACTTGTCTATCAGTAGAGAAATATTGGTCTAATGAGCCACAGTGTAGGATAGTATTTTGCCTGATTTTCCATGGTTTATATTTCCATTCAAAATAACTCTCATAACTCTCATTGCTCCCATCAGATTAGAGAAGGTTCACATTATAAAGAGGTTCAAATATGCCTCTGGACTAGTCTAACACCTGCATAAAGCTGTGCTTGTAGATGGTGCCTAACTGCTTGTGCAGTGTTCTCTTTTTTCATTACAGCATGATCAGAAAACACACTATAGACTTGCTCTGTAACTGTAGTGCAAGGAAATGCATATATATACATTTCACTGAATCTCAACTTCCGTGTAACTACATGTGCATGCATACTTTATTGTTTTTCTTATGTGAGGGATGTTTTCAGACTTACGTTGCTTTGTTGTAGGAGCCTGTGATCTTTCTACAGGTGAGCCCACTTCCTCCACACACTCCACACTTATCCACTCTCTTGTTGGATCCAATGACCTGGTCGCAGCCTGCTTTCACACACTGGCCTTTGACACAGACAGATGTGGTGTCAGGGCCACAGGTTGTCCCGTCAGTCACCTGCAGGGACCCAACAAGTAGACGTTGTTCATTCCTTTATCGTAAGTGTTACGTAACAGTCAGACTTACCTGCATCAGCTCATATTCTATTTTAAGACAATAGGTACTGGCAAAGAATCATAACTGAATGTCTGTATATTAGCTTTTTATGGAGTTTGGAGTAAGATAACTATTTATATTATTATTATTACTATTTTACTCTGATGAGTACATTATCTAAACCGTCAACCCTATTTTAGGCATCTTTACCAGTGCTACATATTTGGCTTTCCTTCCAGTGTAGTGACCCAGTATTCTTTATGCTAACGTTCTAATATATAAATAAAATTGCGTTTCATTATTGTTGGTTCCGTGCTTTTGTAGTCATTTGTGTTTCTCTGTGGTAGTTTTGTGTTGTTTTATGGTCATTTATGTCTTTCTATTTCAGACTGAATTTAACATCAGATCAGTTAGCTGTAGTGTGAACCTAACATGTTGCTGTGTATCAGCTGTGATTCAGAGTGCATAAACTGTACCTTGGATTCAAACACCTTGAATTCACTGCTGCCCCTGGCCCTGCAGAACAGCTTACATCGGTCTCTGGGAGAAACACCGGCGTACTTCGGTATCCACTGTTTCATGTTCCCGTTGTAGTCCAGGTAGTTGGGGCTGTTGTGCTTCTCACACTGCTCCTCTCTGAAGCTCTTTCCTAAAGGTAAAATATGTAGGAAAGCTTAGTGCACAATATGATGAGGTCAACTCGCTGACAGGAAGCGCTGATATTATAATATCAATATAATAATCATTCACAAATTAGGAACTATTTTAATGACGAATTCATCATCAAAGTCATTTTTCAAGATAAACCACCTGAACATCACAGTTGACTGCTTTTCTTTTTCTTTTATGACCGTAAACTGAATGTGTTTGGGTTTGGGACTGTCAGACAAAACAAGCAATTTGAAGAATCACCATTTTCATAAACTATTGATAATAAATACAAAAAATACTACACTGGTTGTCTAAAGGACAGTTAGACAGTTATCCACATTATTCCTGGTTTCCATGGAATTCTTGTGTCTGTCTACCTTGTCAAAAAAGTCTGCTCACACCAAACACCACTGAATATTTGTATACAATTCAAAAAATGGCATACAAATGGTAAAATATCAGAAAATGCTGAATTTATTATTTCATATCAAAACACTGGTTGTCAGCAGCTTCTCGTATCGCTTTGTGAAACCTGCTTAACGCTGATTCTCACCTTCATTGTTGTCACAGGGCTGCGTGTTGCAAGACTGGTACTGAACCCTCTGTCCCTCACAGTACTTCCCTCCGTTCTGTGGTACGGGGTCAGTGCACTCCCTATAGGAGAATTCCACCCCACCTCCGCATGTTCTGGAGCACTGCTGCCATGGTCCCCACAAGCTCCAGCCGCCATCCACAACCACCTGCAGGAAAACACAGCAAGAGAAGAGGGAAAAAAGAGCAGTCAGAGTAGTTGGTTAGAGCTCAGTGCCAAAGGCAATCTCAGCTGTGTAGCCTAAACCACAGTCTGGGCTTCTGGGTTTGAGGCCGCACAGTGTGTTGGCGTGCCGCGACTGCAGGCTAAATCTGTGTTGAAGTTCGGCACGCGCCTGCTGTCTGACTCTACCCACATTCCTGCCACATGTGTCACTCACCACTTGTGGAACCTGCCATGCTGCAGCTTTGTAAGGCGAAATTTAAAGTGTGTGTATATGCTTGTGTATGTGCATGTGTGTGTTTTTGCTAGCGTGGGTGTCCTTTCCAGAAGTTTTATGAGTTTGGACCAGCTAACGTCCGAACTGCCAGCACGTCTGGGTTCATAAACAGATGTGTGATCATAACACAAGGAGAAGATATCAAGGCAACCGAGCTAAAATGAAACACTGAGATGTATAAATGTTCTTTAAGGAAATATAAAAAGGCATCATGGAGCAGCTGGATTTGAACCTACCAAGTCCAACAATGCTGCAGGCCTAATCTGTGTGCTTTTAGACTGTACTTTTCATTCATGTATTCCAACTTAAAACTGCACACAGCTGTAATGAATATTTCAACTAACTGGAACACTGTATTCCCTTCTTTTTCCTAAATCAGCAGATTTCCAATGGAAATTTTGTATTGGGTTGTTGATCTTATGGTAACTTTTCTGGAGCTTTCAATTGTATGAGGCAATCTTCAACAGTTGTCATGGAATTTTAGATGTTCGAATTTTTTCTGAGCACCTCTCGTCCCTGTCGTTTTAAAAGTTGAACTTCAAAGTCTATTCTTGACCCTGGAAACGGTACGTCCCTAGAATTGTTTCAAAGGGGCCACTGAAATCTAACGTCAATATGCATTAATTTAATTTTATTGGTTTAAATGAATAATACCTAATGTGAAATATCTGTTAGGAGCGTATTACAGTACTTACTACTCAGTAGCATATTATGCATAAGGGGTAGGGGGTGTGGTGGGAGATGTTCTGGAGCTTTTGATCGAGTCACACTATTGAGAAAATGTTTCGCATACATTAATGACAGACCTATTATCTGCATGTATGAAAAGCCCAGTGTGAACAATCTGCTAAGGGAGTTAATCTTAAAGTTGCTGACTTATGAGTTTTTACAAGCCTGATCACTCGATTCCTGAGTAAATGAGCAGCTCGCTTCAAAGGAAGTGACTCATCGAAACCTACGCGGCAGTTCTCAGCAGCAAGCAAGTGCAAGCAAATAAACAATGTCAGCATGCAACATGAAACAAGAAGTAAGCTGGGTATGGATTTACAGTTAACTGATGTCCTATTAGATCCTTCCAAGACTGACTGAAGTCAAAATTTTACAACAATTACTGACAGCTGACCACAACACCAAAGTGTGAAATGTCCAAGTGCAGCTTTAATACTTTCTTCTGTGTAAAAACTTGAAGCATGAATGAATTTTTTTTTTCTTTTTTGGAAACTTGGGAGCAGAATCACAACACATTTACTTTGAAGGCATGTTTCTAGCCACCTAACAAATAATGCACCACTATGCTCATCAGCAAGTTGCTAACTTTGTGTGTCTGCTGTTTGGTGCTGGGCAGGTAGTGTGAAGTGGTCTTATCTTATTGCTAATGAAGAACATGTTTTTTTCTTTAAAAGTGATACAGTCTTGGTTTGGTTACACCAACTACTACTTTTCCGATAAAGACTTACCAGCGGTTGCATCACCTCCTGGGTCGGCATGCAAGCTCCATGGAGGCAGGTCCCGTTGAGGCCGCATTGGGTGCCGTCAGCCCAGGGCAGGCTGCCATTCTTGGTGGAGCACTGCGGTGTCCCGTCCTCCTGACACCACAGCTGGCTGCAAATATCACTGTCTGAGGTGTTGGGGCAGTGGACAAACTCCTCTCCAAAAATCTGCTGGCACTGCTGGTCCAGGCTGTACTTGGTGCCTGGCAGCTCACTTGGTAACGGTATGGTACTCTCAGGGACATCCAGCAGGCAGTCCCCTGTGGTTACAATACAAAGGAACACTGTATGAGGCTGGTTATATTGTGGTTTATAGAGATTATGGACTCAGCAGCACTGTGACAATTGTAATTGTGTTGCTCTTTGTGTGTGGCATGACAACAGTGGAAAAATATTCAGGGCAGGTTGTGTCCTGACTATAAAAATGAATAATTTAGATGTAACTAATGCAATGGAGTTTTATAGGCAGCCTAGTGCTCTGAATCTGGACATTTGAAAGCTATTCTAAATCTGAATTTATTCATTGTTCCTCTAATGATTCTTTATTACATTCAATAAGCTTTTTGTCTGGAGTTGTCAATGACGTCTGCAGTTCGGAATGAACATTCTCAGCCACATGAGTTTTTGTTGGAGGCATTTTACAACTGATAAAGAACATATTTTGCTGACACCAGCTGTTGCTTTTGGCTGAGGAGGTGAAGAACAGGAAGAAGTCCATTGTATGACTCAGTGGAAAAAAAGGTTCACTGATAGGTCTAGCAAGGATACAAACAACACAAGATGCACAACACGAGATGGGGAGAGGGAGCAACGGAGGAGAAGCAAAGAGAGAGAGGCGGAGAGGGAGCGAGCATGGAGAAGAGGATGTGGAAAGAGAAGATGTGGAAATCTAGGGCAAGATAAACTATCCCTATAACCCATAATTTAAGGGGAGCAACATGTTTAAGCAGGAAAGCCATAGTAAGAGCGCGAGAGGAATAACAGTATGTTTTATTCATCTCTGAATGAGCCCTAATAACAGAGCCACAGTGGGCAGACATCCACGTTGGCATGTTGTCTCTACAGGGCTGCTCACTTTTGGATTTACTCAGTGTGTAATTTTTAACACGCTGGGGCGACGACCTGAAATATTTCCTACCATGTCCGTTGTCAAAGAACTCTGTGATGTAGCGAGCGCTGCAGGGAGACCAAGGCGAAGTCTTGTTGAGGCTGACAAACAGTGGAGCCATCAGGTAATGTCCTCCTAGATCTCCAAACAGCCTCTCACAGGTCTTGGAGTCGTCATGAGGCATACTCAACACATGACCTGCAGTGTGAAAGGATGCATTGATAACACTGATAGACAAAAGTGTAGTTGGATAGATGAAAAAGCCTTAAAGCTACACATGAAAGAACTTGCCTATTACACTACATTTCAAAAGTTTTTCCATCAATCCTACACCCACACCAGCCCACCCGTGTGACAATAAATGGGAGCTAACCGAGCTCGTGTGCAGCTGTGAAGGCAGCTTGCAGGCCGTTATCCTCAATTACTGAGCAGCTTCTTTTGGGATCGCACATTGTCCCGACATCAGCCACACCCAACGTGTCGCAGCTCTTCTGACCGCAGATGTCCTGCAACACAGACACACACAGAAAGCACTGAAACCGGAGCGTCAAGGTCATGGTGATGGAATTAGATTTGAAAAGCTGATACCAACACTTAGGAAAGCAGGTGTTCAAAATCTTATCGTATCGTATTAGGTGTTATATCTTATTGAGGTTAACAAGCGTCTGATACAGAGTGACCAATGAGTGGCAGGTTGTATTCCATTCTGTGTTACTGCCATATGCCAATTTCGGTCTGCTGATTATTATTTGCAACTGCTGTGGGCAACTATTAAAAGATCTGTCATTCGTCCACAGGCAGAGACCACTTTTCACAATTGTGTACCGCTCTTGTTTTAGTCAATTCACGTCAATTCTTAGCACTATGCTAGTGCTAGTGTTACTCTTCAACTGGCGTATTGCACTTGAGAAAGACATGTTACTGTTGTGTTTGCTAGCACAGGCCACAGGCTTATGGGGATTACTACAGGAATGTGTCACTGATGACTATCAGTGTGTTGCTGCTGTGTGCCACATAAAAACATCAAGAAACTTATGTTCCACTGACAGGTGCCACTTTATATCTGCAGGTACTGTGTAAAACAGGTAGCCAGTGCCATAATGATATAGTGTAGGCAGCTGTCACTGATGTAATGAATGCTTTACTTTTCTAGTAGCTAAACTACCGGGATTACCTGAAGCTATATATTAGCCCTGTGTAGCTCGAGCAGCCTTGGACAAAGGTTGACCAATACTGCTACAAGCCAATAGGCATTAGATAAAGAGGCCATTTTTATTTTTTATAATAAAAGTAGTGTTATACTGTATGTATACAGTATGTAGGCATACTGTTAACACAGCAGCGACATATTCCAGTACGATTTGCCAGTGCAGTGTGGTATGTACCTTTCGATTGGCAGCAACATACTTCTAGTCAAAGAGACAACTACTGCTAATAACAAATTACACACACAGCGGCACATCATAATTAGTAGTGGCATATGGTATGTCAATAAGAATGGGTACGTACCAATGGAGAGTTGTATCAACCAGTAGAACATGAGTGACATACTATTTGTAAGTGCCATCAGCCAGTAGAAGCACAGCGGCGTACCAAAAACCAGCAGTCACATACCTCTCAGAATCGACATATGTCATAGAACAAAAGATGCATACCATGAGCCACTTTTTGATCTTGGCTCTGCTGCCAAAAAGCTTCATTGTCATGGAACACTTAAACTCTCCACTGAACTATGGTGGCCACGAGTATTATACACTGGACCTTTAACTATTTCTTTCAAATCAATTCAGGTTAGATAGATAGATATACTAGACACATCAACCGGTCTTGTCATGAATAAGCAAAGTAGTGTTGAGCAATTCCCCAGTTAACTTGTAATCAAACAATTTGTAACCACAAACACTGTGGACAACAAGACTTTAATATTCCATGTTTAATGGCCAATACTGTCTTGATACATTGTTATAAACCAAGATACGGTGTATTTCCTTTCAAAAGTAATACTCTTTGCTTAGAAACAGCTGGCAGAGTGGACTATCAAAGTGTTAAAGACATTATTCTGTCAAATAGTAAATAAAGTAAGTGTATGGGCAGCCCTGAGTGACTGTTAGAATAATCACGTAGGATGGCGAACCTTCAGCGTCTATTTATGTCCAGTTGTTTTTATGCCACATTTTAAGTCACAAATCAAAAACATGTTGTTCAGTGTTTCCGTCATAAAACAAAGCAAATAAATATCCTCAGAATGCAGATGTCCAGAGCTGTGATGTGGGAAAATGAAGAGCTTGGTGTATCAGAAATCTTTCCCCGCTTGAGAAGACGCCTGGCTGTACAGGACGGAGACGGATACGTCCATGGCCTCGCCTTAGCCCCAAAAAACCACAAGGCAGAGCCCTCTGTGATTTGAAACACATCTGGACTTGGAGCTGCCGTTTGAACACAGCTCAGCGTGTGTTTGTACACCTTGTTCCACAATAGCATCCATCACTCATGCATGCGGACACAAAGCAAGATGTATGGGTCAAAGCACAATGCACAGTATTGCTTTTGCAGATAGTGCAGACAGATGTACAAGCACACACAGACAGCAAAAGACTGCAAAAGTGCATGAGAAAAATGTTTCCACTACATGCAACAGAGTGTGCGTTTTGAGTTTCACAACAGCCAGTAGTGGCAGCAGCCTTCTCTTATGACTGTGGCATACATGGCATACATTTTGAACCCAGACCTGGCTGCACACTCAAGCCCTGACCATTTAAAGTGCCTTAATCATGTCAGGCCTGATTTGTGGTGGCACTAAAGTTAGCTCATCCACGAGGAACCTTCCGCCCTCTACATTTCAAAGCATATCTCCGCAGAAATGGAAAAACAAACACAAACCGGGTTTGCCTGAATGATGGTTTCCCAGATCGAAAGCCGCTTCGACAAATCCAACACAGGACTGCAGAAGCCCATATGTTCTATTCATCATCCAGGGTCAGATTTACATGCTAACGTCATTCAGTAGGCGGATAAATGCCAAGCCTGTCATCAGATCAAGCTTCAACCAGGGCACTTTGCTATAAAAATGTAATAATAGAGAGGTTACTCACCTAATGTATTGTCTGCTAACACCTTGTCAACATGCACATACCAGATGAAAGAAGGCAGCCAAATACAGCAGAATAAGCCAATCACGAGTCAAACCCTGAGGACTTGTGAACTTATTTCCTGTCGAAGCATCCATAAAGCACAGTTTGTTTGCTTTCTGATTCCCCCTGCTTGGAAAAGATTACAACTATTCCATCTTGAAGATCCTTTTGCAGCATTCTTAATTTACCCAAAGGGCGAGAATGACTTTCCTTAACCTGACCTTGTTTAATCTTTTCTCTAATCATTGTCGCTCAAAAGAACAAAATATTAATATAATAATTAAGATAATGTTGTCCCAAAGCAAGGAGCTCTTTTTCAGCTGGGACCCCCTACTTCAAACACAATTGGCCCTAAAATGCATCTGTGTTACTGTAAGGCACTTTAGTTTTGAGTAATTGTTGTGTGGTTGAGTCTGCTGCCTCTGAAACCACATTATGTACCGCAGCTGGACTGAATTCCACCAGGGCTTAATTCGTGACTCATCCATGCTGGATTATTGCCTTCTGAATGGAGAACACAATATACCTACAATGGGTGAGTGGACTATCCATTCTAATCATACACTGTAAAGCACTCAAAACATTGTTTGAGTTGTTTCAGAGACCAAATAGTCTGTGCTCTGAAGAAAGACTTGACTATCTTAATCTATCATGATTGGTGTGTGTTTGGAAACCACTGTGAGTCCTGAAGCCTGATACCAGTGTTAAGATATTTTGTGCTAATACTCAGTAGTTTTAAAGCTGCCTTTATCTTGTTTGGGTTTTTTTGGCCACTTGGGGGCAGAGCTCCACAACAAGCTGCAAATCACATATGGTTGATGTATTGTGGGCTATATAAAGCATGACTAATGTGTTTGAGGCCAGAAAAAAAACACCATAACTATGAGCGATACCTTTCACCTTTCAACCCATTGGTTAAAAGTAGTACTAGTGAAGCTTTAAATTACAGTTACATGATGAAATGTTGTAAGCATTCAGCATTTCCTGTAGCTAAAAATGTCCAATAAAAGCTGTTATTTTTAATATGAAATTTGGTGTTTCACAAGGATCAATTTTCTTGAGCCACTGCTGTTTATATAAATATTGACCATATTGACCAAATAAATTTTAACGTTTAACTTATTTGTTTTTTTTTCCGGAGATTTAAACCAAGTCTTCCTCAGTGGATGAAGTTTGCTTTGTTGTTATCATGGGACCTAAATATGGAACTTTGATCACGTGATACCATGTGATTGTATATGAGGGAGATGTTAACCTGTCTCTCTGTTCAAGATGTTCTCTGGCGTCACATGCAAATGGCCTCCTTGATCTTTCTCTCTAGTCAATGACCTTTGACCCCTTCTCCGTCTATGCAGTGACCAGGTTGGTGTAGTGTTCACAGACACCTGACCTGTCTGTTTCCAGTATTCCGGCAAATGTTTCTCATCAAATGTTTAAAACATTATATGTAGATGATGGTATGTTTTATTGCAGAGACCTCAACAGCCATTTTGCAGCTGTGTAAAGAAGCTAAACCAGGTATGTACTTGGCACTCACCTCTCTGGTAAAGAGCATGGCAGTGTCATAGTGCTCTGGATGCCTCTGGCTTGGTGGGTTGAAGAGCTGCTGCCAGGAGCAGAAGTTTCTCAGTGCCACGCCTCCATTGCTGGAGACCTCAGGGCCGACCTCCTCATCCTCCACCACTAACATCTTCACCAACACCATGTTCACTGAGTTCTTTATGCTGGGGTGCTTGTAAAGCTGGGCGGCCATCGACATCAGGGTCAGAATGTAGTGCTGTGGAGGACAGGACAGAGCACGACATTTAGAAATATAAACTTCCATGGACATGAACTTGCTTGAGACTTGCTTGGACAGTGCAAAACAAAGTGGAGGATGGATGAAAGAGAGAAGGGTTAAATAATAGTTGATATTAGTTTTTTATTAGATGTCTTCAAATTGGTTATCAAATAATGGTGACGAAGATATGTACTGAGCTGGACATTCTGTGTTTTAAAAATAAACTTATCAGTGCTCTCTGCTGGACAAGCTATGTAATGGCAACACACGACAATGTTTCTAAATTATTGTAAACACTTTGCACCTTTTTGGTGCTGCAGTTGCTTGTTACTAATTGGCCAATACAATATATCTGCTATAAGCTAAAATCAGCCGATATGCTTTATAAATCAATCCGGCACACACCACATGTTATTGCAAAGAGCAATTGGTTCAATTGGTTGTAGCGCACATCTTGACAAAAAAATCCAACCTCCCACCCTATGTGTGTGGTGTTTTTTTTACACTTCAGCAAATTGGAAAATAATTACTGAACAAAAATAAAGGTAACAGCTGAATATAAACAAAGTTTACTGCACTACAAGTTGCTATGCAACCATATAACCAAAGGGCACAGATTCAATTAACTCCTAAAATAACTGTGTGCATCGTTACTTACACTGAGAATTTTTTGTGCTGCCTAAAGTTGACCTTTAACTCAAAAAGTGACATCTTTAGCCCCTAGAAACACTGAAAGCTGTATGATAATATTTGGGGTGCTGTATATTCATATCTGTGTTGCTTTCTACAGAATCTGTGCCTTGCTGGACAGGAACAGTTCTTTCTTCCATGAAGTAAGCCTGGAGTCTCCTCCCAGCCCAATAAACTGTCTGCTGCCTTTAAAGGGGATGAGAGGAGCAGATGGGATTGGTCATTATAGACGTCTGACACCACCTGTATTTCTCTCACTAGAAATGTACATTATTGGTCCAGGGTTTCGAATGAGTTTGAAAATTGCAAAAATGTGTTGGACACACTCACACCCCACTGTCTTCTTCTACCATAAAGAGCTGCCTCCAAATATTTTTTGTTCACTATCCATGATTGTGTCATGGGAGGTAGGGATGGGCAAGGTTTTCCACAGTGCTGTCATGGTGTTGTGTTTTAGTGGAGGGCTGGTAAATCAATATGAATGCGGGGGATTGTGCCATGATATTGTAAAGTCTTCCACCAGGCTTTCTGAAATCACTTTTTCTAGGGCGGGATGATGTTCCCGCTTAAAAAAGTTTTTCCACATGTGCTGTACACACACCCACATAGCCACATATTGATTTTTGCCTGGGACACCAAATAACTAAAACCGCCCCTGCTCATAGAACACATTTGAAATCATGAAAAGCCAATATAAAGCCAGATTATCAGTCTAAACTGACCCTGATGCCTGGTTGCCTTTACTTGCTTACTTACTGTGGGATAAGGCGGAGGGGTTTGGCAGCTGAGGAGCTTGTTAAGTACAAACAGACAAGAATTTGGCTGGTCCAAATTGTGGCAGGATCAGGGATTGTCCTACTTTTGTCTTAATGGGTCTTTAGTTTTGCTCTAGATTGAAACGGGATGATGATCTCAGGAGTTTTTTATGAATATCACCATCCATTAAATGCAAATGAAATATCGGATGTTTTATATCGTGTGCAGCAGGAAATGGTTCATTTAATTAATTTTTGATACTGAGTAAAGACAGATATAGAACAGATATAGTAAGCCTGGTGAATCTTCCCTGGATGATGCTGAGGCTCTGCTGCCAAATCGTGACCAAGTACTGAGGAATGCGCTTCAACATTGCTTGCATTTCTCTTGCCTGACCTCTTTCTTAGTCTGTGGAAAACAGGGAGCCCACCGATTCCCTCCCAACCTCCCTCATTGCCAAAACATGTTTAATGAAGCAGCACAGAAAAACAAATCCCTGCCACTGTGTTTCTATGGCTATGAATCCTCGCAAACAGGATGGGGAAATAAAGGGGAAAAGATGACGTCTTCAGTATGTTTGTTTATGGCACAGTGTAATCTGCTAAATTAAACTATGGTTCGTTTATGTTCCTATCAACAGTGTGTGCAGGAAAGAATGAGTTCATCATGTCTGACCTTTATTTCATCTCCATAGAAGTGGGTCATTGTTGAGTCTGCTACCACCAGGGTCTCTATGAACCGTGGCGCGGAAACAAAGCGTCTCCGGCGAGGTTCCCTCCGTGCGTCACTGTCGCCGTGCGTAAAACTTTCCTCATTGTGCTTCTCCGCTCGGCTCTCCACCGCAGCGTGATCAAACAGGAGGGGAACACCGTTGCTTTTGGTGAATGTCCTCCTTTTGATGACATGCAGCTGCTCCGCAGAGTCTGGCCCCAGACCGCCACGAAGTTTGGGCTCAATTAAGTATTCTTTCCCCTCCGTTATGAAGGAGCCAAAGATGCCGGAGCACAAGCTGACAGACACAACTGAGTGTTGATCTTGATCTACGTTCCCCGAGTAAAAGCAGCTCCTAAGCTGCCCTTCACTCTCCTCTGTCTGGTTCATGACACTCTGGAGATCCGCTACAGGTTGGACATCTGAAGCGCTGCGTAAAGCGCCAACATCTCTGGCTTTGATGCGCTGTATGGTGAAGGAGGGCGAGATGAAGCTTGTATCTGGGATGAGATTTAGAGTCATGTCCTTGCCAAATGCACTGAGGGTAAATCTCGGCTGCTCCTCGCTTCTTTTCCAAAAACGACCGCTGATTCTGCCGTTTATCCGAACAGGTACAATATCCTCTGATTCAAATGGAGTGGAAAGTGCCGCGTTCATTACGCACAGGAGTAAAAAGATCAAACACACAGTGGAACACATCTTCTGCAATGGAAATTGCACTCAAGAGCGGAAAAAATAAAGAATTTATTCAAATGTATGTCCTTTATCTCTGGTAAGCGGCGCGTCTTCTCCAATCGAAAGAGTATCTTCTGAAATCAGAGATCTTTTCAAATTAAAAGTGTTTCCCAGTGCTGTTAAATCAGTCTTGGTCAAAGTATGTCTGGTATTTCATTTCAGTCTGTCTGAGTTGTCGTTTATAATTCCCTAACCAGGCTAAGTCTTGTTGTACCACTCACCAGCACCGCTGCAGTCCGGACACATCGGGGGTATTTATACTTTCTGCTCTTCCTTGGACATGAGGGGGTTTATTTTTGATATCCTCCGTTGCTGGAAATTCTCCTCCCACTCGCACTTCATGAGATACTCGCGGATAAAACGGATCCAATGAGAATAGGCCGACACTCCCCCCTTCTGAAATAGCTTGACAACCGTGCTCCTATTATTAACCCAGCGTGCTATATGGCAGCGGCAGGACATCTATACTACGCATAGCTGGAAGTCCGCTACTCGAGTTATTTCGGAGCCGTGTGTGAGTGGCAGGCCCCCACAGAGTCCGGAGCCCCCCACAAGGCCGATCTGCTTTATCCCCGCACAAAAGACCCCAGCTGGACAGAGAAAGGCACTGTGTGTGCTTGGAACTGACAGCCACCTTGGACACTGAGAAATGTTTAATCACATCAGTAGAGTTATGGGAAGATTATTATTATTTAATCACGTGTTTATGCACCATGTGTGTTCTGTAGATATTTTCCTAAATATTAAGATCAAGCAACTATTTATCCTTCTTTACCAAAAGAACAATATTCCTTTAATAAATGACTGTAATAAATGATATCTTTACTTAAAATGTTAAAACAATGTACCCAATATGTCCTATTTTAGAATTCCGTTTAGTGCTGCAGATTTTAAACATTTGTTTTATTCATGAATATTTCTTTCCAGCACCATAAATGCTGCGTCTAAAAACATTTTCTTCATGACGCTAAATAGTTTTTTTCTAAAAGGCTTTCTCTTGTATTACAAGACTAAACACATGTTCTGCCAGGCACCATGTAAATCACTTTATTAAGACTGTTTGCCTGGAGAATGCCAGCACTTGAAACAATAAAAATGGTCCCTAAAGGGTGCCGTTTAGGACGCTAACCACCAGATGGCGCCACACCACAACAGACTTGTTCGGGCGCTGAGACTCACTGAAGCTCCGGTGGACTTCAGGTGCAAACAGGTGGCGCTCTTTGCCAGCGTTTCACTTTGCTGTTTACACTTTTTCTTAACCGTGAGGATATGCAGAGGAATAGAAATGTGTAAATTGTTTAGTTGTCAGTAATGGATCTTTTATGTTTTCTTCATTCATTAAACTTGTTTTTAATAAACATTTTATGGAAAAATACATTGAAATGAATACACAGAAATGGAAATGGCGAGATTTTAGGAGGAATTGTGCAGAAATGTAATATCATATCATATATGTGAACTGTTTGAAGGTTATTACATTAGTTTGAAATAAATTAAATCAGTCTCTGTTTGCTCCCTGTCTGTCCGCTTCGCAGTGACTCTGGGCGGTGGGAGGAGGGGGGCTGATGCTCCAGCTCCTGTCACACATGCTGTACAGCAACAATAATATTTGGAGAGTTACAAGTGGCTGCGGTCTGCAGCACAACCCGAGACGCATGACCAATGAGCTCTCTCTTGCGCACGTACCCAGATTTCACTTGAAAGTGATCTTCGGTGTTTGTGCGCCACTTTAAAGCTCAGCAGCTCAGAGAAGTTGGTGGCCAGAGTGGAAACGGTGCAGGATGGGAATGAAGCTGAAAGGCAGCGCGGGTGCTTAGTTTTCTGAGGACGCACAAGGCTGAGGCGCTTCGTGCCATTGCGCACAACTTCTCCACTGCCTCCACTGCAAACGCACCGTAGCCGAATTACAGCGTGGGCTTTACTAAACAGGAGCAGAGATGGCTGCACTCATTAGTTCTTTGATCATTTTTACCAAATTATTACTTTATCTGAAACTAACATATTGCATGGAGGTGGATTTCTGCATACCTGTTCGCGTGGATCAGCAAAAGCATGAAAAGCATCTGCACCGGCGCGCGGAGCAGATGAATGAAAGGCAGATTGTTTTTAGACTGAATGCATTCAAACAGGAATTTTACCTCCACCTCACGCCGGACTCTAGTTTCATTGCACCGGGCAGCTTGCCGCCGGAGAGCGGCTCCACAGCATCCAACGGCTCCGCACCCGCTGACCTCAGGGACTGCTTCTACTCCGGCGATGTCAACTCAGACCCGGACTCCTTCGCTGCGCTCAGCCTGTGTAAAGGTCTCCACGGGGGGTTCTCCTATAATGGCATGGAGTATTTCATCAGCCAGACCAGGACTGAAGACGGAGCAGCTGCGTCTGGATTTGGAAACTCTTTCGACAGGACGCATGTCATCCGCCGCCGGAGACGCGCTGCGCACTCAGCCGGCAACCTCACCAGCAGGTGCGGAGTTACACCTGACACCAACTTCAACATCTCCCTGGAGAAATACAAGCACATGGGCGAATTGGAGATTGATGGCTTAACTGAAACTGTGTTGAAAACCTTGGGGAGGTCCAAGAGGTTTGCCTCCATCCCCAGGTTTGTGGAGGTGCTGGTGGTGGCAGATGAATCTATGGCTGCATTTCACGGGGATGACCTGAAGCATTACCTCTTGACCCTGATGTCAGTAGCAGCCAGGCTTTACAAGCACCCCAGCATCCTCAACTCCATAAACATAGTGGTGGTGGGTTTCATGGCGATAAATGAAGCTGACAAGGGACCTAAGGTTTCCAGTAATGCAGCCCTGACTCTGCGCAACTTCTGCTCCTGGCAGAAGAAGTTGAATAAACACAGCGACAAGCACCCAGAGTACTGGGACACTGCCATACTGTTCACTAAACAGGTAAGCAGGAGAGGAGTGAGCTGCATCAAACACAGCTGTAATGCATTACAATGCTGCATTCATAGACAACTTGCCCACTGTCTCATAAGCAAGAGACCCCTGGCACGCACAGCCCCCTCCCCCCTTTACATAAGTGAAAGACAACCAGACTGAAAGAGATAAAACACAACTATTCTTTCAGTAATAATCTGCAGGTGAACCAGAACTCTCAGACTCTCAGTGACACAAAAGACGACTCAGTGATGCTGTTTGTAGTCCTCTCTGTTTTTGCATCTCTTTGTAGTCATTTTGTGCTAATCTTGCATGAACTTGTGTGTTGGTGCAGCCTGTCAACTGCACAGCTCTGCAAGTCCCCTTAGTTTAGTCCAGTGAGTCACTGGAAAGGAGCAACTGAGCCAGTTCTTTCCATGAAAGACCTCACCTCCGTCTGCTTGTATGGAATAAGAACTGGGCCACTATCTACTAATATAAGGAACCTTTATAATGATCAGGAAGTTTTTTAAAGAATCCTATTAGAATACAAATTCCTTCTTCATTCATTCAAAGTGATGTAAATGGCACTATTTCAAGGTTTCAGCCTGATCCCAGCTGTCAGATAATCCCATGTGGCCACCAGAGCTGTGACCACTGACTACTAAATCTTTCTCCACAGTCACTAACTTCTCTCTGGCTCCCCTGGTTGTCGTTGCCTGCTTTCCATTAGGTCCAGTTTGGCTCTGGCTGGCCATCTGATACACAGCCTCTCTCCTTCACTGCATAGCAACATACAAAAACACTTCCAAGGTCAAAACGAGTGAAGAATCACCCACAGTGCCGGGAAAGATGCCTTATTTAAACGTAGGGTAATTATATGTAGGAAGGTCCAGGTCCAGTGTTGTTGTCCTTGTAGGGCACAATGAGTGCAGCTGCTGCGATGGGAAAAATCTTGTAATAGGTTATGGAGAGCAAGTGGAATACACATGGCTGGCAGAGGGTGCTTCTGGCACTGCTGGGCTTCACTGTAACCTCGGGTTAACAGGTTCATCCTCCACTATGTGTTTATATTTTCTTAGATCACTATAAAAGCACAGGAAAGTCATTTTGATATACTAAAACATAATTCCTGACCAGAAACATTAAAACTGAGACAATAACCTCTCCAGAACCTCTCCTTGGGACAGAACTAGGCAACTAATCTTCCTGATAACCAATGAGTCACAGCCATTTACAATAATAATTCATTGTTCCAGCAGGAAAAGGCTCATAACTTTTTCTGTAATGTTAAATAACAAGACTACAAGTCTACAGCCAAACTAGCAGCTTGTGAGACTGTACATAGGCACAATGGTCCTTTGACCTAAATGCTAATGCCAGCATGCTAGCATGCTCAAAATTACTATACTAACATATTTGCTGATGATGATGTCTACCATGTTCACCATTTTATTACTTAGTGTGTTACCAACATTTGCTAATTAGCAATAAAGAAGTTGGGAATGACATTAGCTTTGACAAAAAGTTTAAGGCCCAAAAAAGGTCCAGTGTGTAACATTTAGGATGATGTATTGGCCGAAATAGAATATAATATCCATAGTTATGTTTTCATTAGTGTATAAACACCTGAATATAATAATAATTTAGTTTTTGTTACCTAGGAATTAGCTTTTTACATCGACTTGCCTTCCACAGAGACTTTCATGCTTTTACGGGGTGAAGTGAGGGAGTTGCAATCTGATGCTACTAATTCTTACACACTGGTCACCAAAGCTATGACAGATTTATCCTGTGGTACATCAATGTACCAAATATCATGGCAATCCATCCAACAGTTACAACAGTTAACATTTCAATAAAAAACTGGTGGTGGCCCCAGAGGAAAAGTCAGGGGAAATCTATGCAGCAGTTAGCTGTTAGCATGGCTATTAAGATAAACCCATGACACAAAACTGGCAGAGATGTTGGGGGCAAAGTTGGTTGTGGACTGTATGTCTGACCCAGTTAGATACAGACAGCTAACCAAAATGGGGCACAACATAGAGGAAAGAGAACATAGCCATAGAGTTGTAAGCAGAGTTGTAAGCGAATGTAAACATGTTAAGAAGAGACTGTGGTGGAGTTGACGTGGTTTTACTTTTCCCTGGGCTGTGTGCCGCAGGTGGGACTCATCTAGTCCCCCCAAAGTCCCTTCTTAACTCTTTAACTAAACACCAAGAGGAAATTCGTGGTGGGCTATCTCCCCTGACCCTCTGTTTCAATATATTTTAAGAACAGAGCAGCAATAAGCAAACCAGAGTCGCATGTGCTTTGTATTAGCCCTCTTCATGGTCTGTTCATTCTGTAGCTCACGGCACAGCCACACAAACCATGTTTGGAACATAACTTGAGTCTTATCTGATTTTTCATGCTTCCTGTAAGAATAAAGAGAAAGGCTTTTCACAGATAACACATTTGTCCCTGTGTCACCAGGATCTTTGCGGGTCCACAACCTGCGATACGCTGGGGATGGCTGACGTTGGGACCATGTGTGACCCAAAGAGGAGCTGCTCTGTCATTGAAGATGATGGCTTGCCCTCAGCCTTCACAACTGCCCATGAACTTGGTAAGAAAGTTGGCCCGCTATTTGTAAAATGTTGGGAAGATGTTGTTCATCAGCAGAGTGTGCATTTTATATTAATGCTAATGCACATTTGCCTCAGAGTGAGATATGCTCAGGGCAAGAGATGCATATAACCTTAACTTTAAATGTCAAAGGAATTCTGCTGTCAGGTTTGACAGACGTATATGCGCATAATCAGTGTGGAAACTGGTCTGGCCAGAGGGCTTTGCAACTTTCATGATGATCTATGTGGCTGTGGAGTTTTCAGTCCTGGTCCCAGAGCACTGCACCAGCTATTTAATTGCGATGTTCTGTTTGCAGATCAGTCCCTCATTACAATCAAAACCAGCAGCTCTCCGGGTTGAAATGAATGCATGTTCAACATTACATCTGCACGTGAAAGTTCACTATAATAATAATAATATGATAACATTGTACTAACAAATGTACATTTATCTTTATTCCAGCTAGTCTGTGATGCTTTCGTGAAAAGGAGAATGCAAGCAAAGAAAAAGGATAAGACTGGCATGCTTAGCATAAAGACTGAAAGAGGGGGAGAACAGCTAGTTTTATCCAAAGTTCAAAAAGTAGCCTGCCAACACCTCTAAAGCTGAATAACTGTGTTGTATCCTTCTTGTTCAACTTGTAAAGAAAGAGAATGTAAAAACAACTATTAACTATTTGTGGTTTTAGGGCAAGTAATATCCCATAAGCATTTCCTGGCAAACAACAGCAACATGTCATAACTATGCATAGATTCCCAATGTCTTCTCGTCAGGGTGAGGTTGCCAGGTTTGGTTCCAGACAGTCAGAGATCAAAGCAAACATGATGCTCACTGACTGTATCTCACAACAAATCTCTACATCCGGACATGCGACATTGGTAACTGATCAGTTGGATAAAAGAAAAAAAAGTAACTTTGGACAGAGCCAGGCTCGCTGTTTACAGCTATGTACTACGCTAGGTTAACCACGCCCCAGCTCCAGCTTCTTACTTAAACCACAGACATGAAACCAAGTACTGATTGACATTAATATTCCATGGTAAGTGTGGTCTACATGCTGTTGTTTCCAAGCTAGACCCAGTGGCGCCTGGGGTCATATTGGGGTCAGAGAGTGATGGACAGTCAAAAGTGGCTGGCTGACTATTCATTTGTTCTTTTCTATTTGTTTAAAAAAAAAAATCAATATACATTAATTTAACACATATATTTAATTTTAAATCAATTTACATCGATTTGAATGAATAGTACCTAAAGTAAAAAAAGTCAGATGGTACCATATTATGCATATCTGTGTGTGTGTGTGTGTGTGTGTGTGTGTGTGTGTGTGTGTGTGTGTGTGTGTGTGTGTGTGTTGGGGGGTGTTGGATGGACCACAGAGATGATATTTCATGAACCAGAATGAATTCTGAATTTATACTCAGTGTAGAAGTTTGATGACCAGTGTCCAGGGTTGTTTGGATAAACAGGAAGAATCTACAGCGACACATTCTTTCTCTATTCCTCTAATATCTGTAATTTAGATATTATACATGCAGTTTTACCCCCACTCCTCCTTACTGCAGCTGGAAATGACCTGTTTTATTCAGTCAAATGTGAAAATGGAAAAGAAGCTGAAGCTTTTTTGATGCAATTTAATGAGTGGTATTAAATGGCATATAATATACTTTGACACTCCTAAATCTCTCTAGTTAAGGCTAATCCTATTAATAATGCAAGTAACAGTATTTTTTTCACATTTTCAATAATCAGTGGTTGAGAAGGCTTTGAAAAACACATGCTGGAGACCAGATGTACAAGTGAGGCCCCAAGAGAGGCATTGGTTTACACTGTGCTTATGTATGTTAAGTAATTAAGTCTCAAACGCTGAAACACAGTTTATGTTTTCTTTTTTTCTTTTGGAAAGGACTACATGTTCGTATTTAGGGAATGAAATGATTTCCTTGGGAACTAAATTCCCCTGTCAGAACATGGACGTATGCCACGCTGAATATTCCCATGCATAACGGCATTCCTGTCTGCTATGACATCAGCCTCAGATCAGTCCAAGTTGAGTTTGCTTTGCCTTATACATACATGTAAAGTCTCTCGTTGTGCTAATATTTTCATATTTCACTGTCGTCGCCACAGAAACTTCACTGTACTGCTAGCTTTTTATCATGTTATAAATCATGGGACGATTGAAAATAGAACTACTTGACTTTAACAAAGACGTGACCTTCTGTCTCTCTTCCCACCCCACCCCCTCCCACAGGACACGTCTTCAACATGCCCCACGACAATGTGAAAGCATGCGAGGATGTATTTGGGAAACTAAAGGACAACCACATGATGTCGCCCACACTGATTCAGATCGACAGGAGCAGGCCCTGGTCTGTGTGCAGCGCAGCCATCATTACTGAGTTCCTGGACAGAGGTCATGGTAAGTAAACACTTCCTGTATGTGTGCCTGGACGACAAGGCTTCATGGTCTCAGCTGGTTGTAATCTAATTGTACCCACAGAAAACAGACCTTGGCTCTATTTTGTCATGGTTCAATTGGTAAGTTCAATTTCAGCTTCGACTTGGAAGTGATCACACGTGTCAAATATTATAGTATATTATACAATATATTAGTTTATTATTATTTTTTAGTTTGACTCTGACAGATTAAAGCCCAAAAAATATGTTTTTTACTTATCTATTTGGATGAAATAGATTTTTTTAAATAATGGCTAAGGTGCGTGTCTCATGAGTCAACACACTTCAACAATAAATAACACAGTGAAAGTCAATAGCAACTCAGAATACCAGAATAATATCAACAAAACTAACATCATGTCTAAGTTGACAAGGAAAACAATCAACAATGAAGACTTACTTAAATTAAAAAAAGGCTGACTTAAAGCTGCACTAATTAATATCTTCACATGAACAATGGATCGAGTCCCTGTGTGTAATGTTAAATGGGTCACTTGTAGGGATGAATCCACAGAGAACAGTCACCTGACTGCAGTTCCTCTCAGCGCTACAGAAGGTTTTACCATCTTTGAGCTCGTTGTTTTGGTTTAACAGCCCTGCAACATTTATGTTCACACTGCAAGCCTCCTCACCCAATTCTGATTTATTGCTCTGATCGGATTGATTAATGGCTGTTCACATTACTTTTTAAATGTGGCCCATATGAGATTCCAGTGTGAACTGGTCACTGCAACACATCATACAACGTCACACACTGAAAGCCAGCAAATTTGTGAGCAGATGATATGGATATTGACAAGGACGAGGAGAAAGAGAGACACATTTTAAATTATGGCTTTTTGTGGAGCTATGGCTGCTACTTCTGTACGGAGGTGTGTGTGTGGATGTGGAGTCTGAGCAAAGACAGACCAGCTACATTACAATCCCTCAAGTGTCACTCCAAATCCCTCCTTGTCCCTCCACTGACTACCTCCATCGCAGCTGAATGACTCCCACCAGCGCAGAATTGAGGCAAATGCCGTTCTAGAGTGACGTAAAAGTCACAAATCCTGATATGACTGTTCACACCGAGGTCACGATGCAAAAAAACAGACCTGATCTGATGTGGGCCTCATATGAAAGTGGCCCAAACTGAAAACTGAACTGAAAAAAGCAGTTTCCATGTGATTTGTGCTATTCACACTGTCATGAAAAACTACTCACATAAGAGCAAAACAATCGGATTTGGCCCACTTAAGCCTGCACTGTGAACGTTGCCTTTGTTTTTGTTCAGTCTCATGGCTCTCATCAACCTTGTTTCCAGCAGCAGCATGCAGCTGTTTTCAGTGAAAAAGCTTTGGTGAACCAACTGTACTCTACCTGCCCAGCACCAAACAGCAGACAGACACAGTTAGCAACTAGATGGTGAACATATTGGAGCATTTAGCAGCTTAAGAGAATGATTTCCCCTTTAGGAGTTGATGATGACCAAAACAGACAGACAGCAGACTTACATTCAACAGGCGGCCAAGAAAAACAATTTCAAATGACTGCTAATGCTGCTCTGTGCATGTTGGATGTGGAAACAGGCAATAGTTAGATAACATACAAGCCACACCAAGGCCACAATATTTCAACCATGTGATTTTTATCTCATTCATCATTAAGTGGCAAAAAAGATTAATGTAGCAAGAAACATTTTGGTTAATGAACACCTGTACAACAGTTGGTAGATATATGGAAGAAAAAGCACAAAAAACATAGAGACAAGTTCATGGTGAAGTCATGAAAGCGCATTAAAACTACACCCAAACTACCTTAGATGGGATCAGAATTTTAGATCCTGGGCTTGAAATCCTGTTGTAACGATAAGCTTTGGAAAGTGCTTGAGACTGACAAACTAACTGAGTGGCTTATGTTGACTGCTGGTCAGAGCTCAAAAAAAGACATTGCTAATGTAATATAATATATCTGGGAAAAGTCTGTATTTTGATGTCACATCAGGATATACAGCATCTACTGTAGAACAGTGGATGAGTTAAGTTAGAAAAGGACATCCATAGTAAAACTGGCAGGTACCAGATTCCCATTAGCCTCAATGAACCACAATGCATCGACAAGAAATGAGGAAATGTAAAACATTTCTTTGGCAGAGTGATACTTGAAACTGCATCGCAGTTATTATTACACAAGAAAGAAACTGAACATATCTGAAGTGTATCAGAGGAAGTATTTTTCCTTGTGATGTTATTTCATATGCAGATGATGATATACAGAATCCACATTCAATTAATAAGTGTATATATACATCATTCAGCTTTTTCCCCTCAGTAGCTCCTTTATGCCAAGTCTTTTTCTGTCTGTGTGTAAACTCCCATAAGTGAGTCTAAGTGGATTCTGTGTAATAGACAGAATTAAAGACACCAATTTATTACCTCCCCTCGACCTGCCCACTTACTGCAAATGAGCGTGTGCTAAGTTTAACACTCCAGAGCTAAAACTACTGTCTTTTCTACATGAGTCATTTGCTTAATCTAAACATAAGCCGGTGCCTGCACTGTGTCATATAGAGCTAAGGCTTCTCTTGTACAGACTGAAGCCAAAGTTATTGAACAAACAGTACCAGCAGTTTTAAGCTCATGCATTATTTATATGTCCAAACAATATCTGTCTTTGATCATACCGTGCAATAATTCTCTACAAGCATAATAGTTTCTTCTGTCAGTATGTTTTCTGAACATTCCTTTAATGCTATAATACATCGTTTTATAGTCATACAGCTTTGCACAATCTTCAAAATCTTAACATGAACTTACCTGAGCACCCTTGCAATGCATAGCAATTTAAAGAGAAAAACTGATTCTCCGCGACATTTGATATGAGAAAGATAATAGCAGAGGTGGGACCAAGTCACTGTTGTGCAAGTCAAAAGGATGTCTGAGATCTTTACACTCAAGTCCCAAGTCAAGCCCCTAGTCACTACAGTTAAGTTCTGATTCCATACAGATAAATCTCAAGTCACGTCTCAAGTCAAGTCCCATGCCCTGAACTTTTTGCATCCTAAAACAAGTTATAACACGCTCACCAAATGTGAACGAAAGTAATGTCTGGTGAATTCTTCTCTCCTGCAACTTGATTGGATGCTCACAAATTGGTTCAAACAAAGTGCATATAAGGAACCAAGAGTATACTTGCTGTGAAAGAAGTCACCTCTGGATTAAAGATACAGTATGTATGAAGGAAGTATCTGGCTCTGGCTCTAAATGTTCACCAGGTAGTCGCTAGTGTTACCTGTCCGCTGTTTGGTGCCTGGCAGGTAGCATAAAGTGCTTTTTATTAGCGTTAGCACTGGAAACAGCTGCCTGCAGCTGCTGGAAATGAGGTTGAGGAGAGCGCTGAGACTTAGTTTAAGCAGTAAAGTTGAGGGCCATGAAAACAAACAATAAGCTGAAAGATGCCAAAACACTCTGCAGAGCTGAGGGAAACTGCAAAGCTTGTGATAATTCTCTGTGGGTTCATCAAGTAACACCAACAAGTAGTCATCTCCCCTATTGTAAATACAAATTTGAACATTCCCACACTTTTAGTCATAATCTTACCTCAGTATTAATATCCATGTGTCTAATTGTTTGAATGGCTGTTGGTTTATTTGTGTAGGAGACTGTCTGTTGGACCAGCCTCAAAGGCAGCTGTCTCTCTCAGACAACCTACCTGGTTCCAGCTACAGCCTGCACCGCCAGTGTGAGCTCGCTTTCGGCCACGGCTCCAAGCCCTGCCCATACATGCAGCCCTGCTCCAAGCTTTGGTGTACCGGGAAGGCCCGTGGCCAGCTGGTCTGCCAAACCCGACACTTCCCCTGGGCGGATGGCACGAGCTGTGGCAACAGCAAGGTCTGCTACCGGGGAGCCTGCGCTGATAAGAACAGCACCATGCACATCAAGGTGAGAGAGTGCAAAAAGAGAGTACTGTCCTGTCCTGCTTGGTCATTTTTTATCACAGATTGATGTACCATTGCGCCTGCGTCTTTTGTCCCAGGTGGATGGCCGCTGGGGGAAGTGGGGTGCATTTGGAGACTGTTCTCGTAGTTGTGGTGGAGGAGTTCAGCTGGCCAAGAGAGAGTGTGACAACCCCGTCCCTGAGAATGGAGGCAAATACTGCTATGGCCTTCGCATCAAATATCGCTCCTGTAACCTCAACCCTTGTCCTGAAACAGGTACACATGTTCACACAGGAAGACACACATTAAGGACTGTAAATGAGCATTCACTAAACCTTTCTTCCAAACAGTGATTGTCTAGTTATACCTTAGCATCAGTAACTAGGCATGGTAGGCTTGTCAAGCTTTGGCTTTGTCTGAATGTTAAAGCATGTATGTGTATAGCATTGTACATGCAGTTGAAGTAAGAGAGATCTTTGATATTTATAGAGTTTGGATGGTGATGTCTGTTTCTTTTAACCAAAAAAAGGGAACAAAATGTGAAGCAATGGGTTAACGAGTGTGCTTATATGCCCTAATGTAAGCCTAAAGGCCTCCCATACGGATACATACACGGACAGCTGCAGACACTATGGCCACATAGTAGTTCTGTTTATACTACTTTCTGGAGTCTGCTTGGAGGACACTTATGCACAGTAGATCAGCATCTTGTAGTGTCGTGGCCTTGCAGAAAGTTACAAATTGGAGGTACACCGATGTCTGCACAGAGCCTACACATACAGACTCTGATGATTAAATTTACTTCATTCTGACCCTATCAGACCCTCGCTGAAAGTCTAATTATGGCTTAATTGTTAGCAGGGTCCTTGTTCCTACAAACAGCATTAACCTGACCCCAGTCAAAGTTACCTATGATAGCCTTACTTTCTCCAAGCAGAGTTTTACAGGGTTCCCATTTTAATAGGAGTCAGCTGGAAACATTAAAAAGTCAGAGCTGGAGTTGGTGTTTGCAACTAGGCTATTGAGGTTAGCTTAATTAGTTCGCTAGCTACAGCTGATATAATTAGTTAGCAACAGTTTCATCTGGCAAAACTGATGGTCGCTGGCTATTGTTTTTTGTTTTGAAAATTACTTAGAATTTCAGGTAGCAAATCTGTCACCGCTATCATTGTAAAACAACAACAGAATGCTTGACAGGCATAGCAACAGTAACTACTGGTGCCAGGGCTTAATGAATGGCCAACTGCAAACTGCACTCACATTCTGTGAGGTCAACAGTGTTGAAGTAGTTGTCAATCAATTCTGAGGCTGTTTTTTTTTTATACTTCTCAAGGTAAAAGTTTCCGTGAGGAGCAATGTGAGGCGTTCAATGGCTTAAACCTGAACACCAACAGACTGGGCTCCTCTGTGGTATGGGTTCCCAAATATTCAGGCATCTCTCCCAAGGACAAATGCAAGCTCATCTGCCGCGCCAACGGGACCGGATACTTCTATGTCCTCGCTCCAAAGGTATGTAGCAACACAATCGGATTGTATCTGTTTTAATCAACTCACTTTTTCTAAACTCTGAAAAGTTCAATAGCACAAATTATATTTATTATACAACCCTGTGGGTACACTGAGTTAATAAAGTAGAGAAACTCCAATGAGTTCTGAAAAGTTCTAGGCAAATGACATATTGACTGCTTTCATATTATCGGCAAAACGTAATTACCCAGCCACCTGGAGGCTGATTTGAGCCTGATAGCTGTAGTGCAAATGTGGTTGCTGCCTGTAGACGGTACATAGAGCAATGCGGTCAGCTTTCATTATGCTGCTGTGAACAAAAACCAGGTTCTGCCACACTTAGATCAGTCTGAAAAGTTGAGACATGACATTAGGGAATTCTCTTAATTCTGAGCTAAATGGGTATCAACTATTGTACTTGCTAATGCAATCTGAATGCCTTGTCATTGAACACCTCATCATGAGTCAAAACCTCATGGGTGGTGTAGCTGAAACATTTAGTTAGAAATATTGAGTAGCTCTCTGCTCACAGAGGTTTTCAGGCTCGGCGTGTAGCTGCCTGGTGTGATTTGGCCCTTATCCACAATGCCAGAAGTAACGGCCAGTTCCATCAACAGCAAAGCAGTGAGAGGTGATGTGTTAGTTGCAGCAGATAGAGTATGTGCTGCTGCGGGGTGGATGTAATGGTGAAAAAGCGAAACATTGCAGGGATGGTATCACTTCACAGCTGTGGCTTGTCAGCAACTATTTATGCAACCAGTGAAGAAGTAAGCGTGTAGCAGCAATGCAAGCCAAAGTCTTGTTTACACTAAAGGACACGGTACAATCCCCCTGGTGCTACTTTTGACTTTGTATTGATGTAGCTCTTTGGTTCATTGTGTTTGTTTAGTCAGAGGAAGATTGAAGTATGTAAAGATGGTAGACCATTTATGTGGCAATGATTTCTGTCTAGCTCTTTAGTCTCTTTGTCGTTCCTGCTTATCCAACTAAAGATTGGCATGATGTGATGTTTCAAACCCTGCAGGTTGTGGATGGGACACCTTGCTCTCCTGACACCTCAGCTGTATGTGTTCAAGGGAAATGCATCAAGGCGGGCTGTGATGGCAAGCTGGACTCTAACAGGAAGTTTGACAAGTGCGGGGTTTGTGGTGGGGACAACCAGGGCTGCAAGAAGGTCTCAGGGATGTTCACCAAACCTATGTAAGTAATATGCTAGCACATACTCTACCACTCTTTGGTGTTACATCTAAAGTGCCGGGACAGGTCATGGCTAACTTTAGACAATGAAAGCTTTGCAGTGAGCTTTTTCAACCTGCTTGTTGTTGGCACCAGAAACAAAGATAAAAACAGCCCATGCTCTCTAATTAATTCTCCCAGTGTGGTATCTCTGTAGCTACTGTACCTATGGAGCCTACGCACATAGCCAGGATAGGTACAGCGTAGCCCCTTAATGCAGCACTATAAATGAAGGTTTAGATATATAGCCTAAAGGTAGGCATCAATGGATAACACCTATCATATTTTGATTTTTAGCATGTCCCATAATTATGAAATGATTCCTGGTATATTCATAGAAATAAATGATCTTGTGGGGTTATTCAAAACAAAAACTTTTGGCTCTGGGAACTTGATGATATTACAATCCAAGACATACTTAGCCTAGTTTAGCTCAAAAACTAAAAAAGTTAATTAATTAATAATTAATGTAAGACCTTTAAGCTGCTCCAAAATAAGTTTTATTCCCACAGTGTATCTTCTGTATTAAACACATGTACAAATATCAGTCATTGTGGTTAGATTGGAGTGTCACTTCTAAATGTATTGGTGGCCAAAAAGATAGAGGATGTAAAATGCATATGAGATTCATAGAGGCAACCAAAAGGACTGGACAAGATTCTGGCAATATAGTGGCACACTGTGATCTACTCTCTTCTGGAATGTTTTGCAGTGATGGTGTTTAAAAATGCTACTTGAAGCACCTTTAAGTTTACAAAATACATTTACATACATCATTCTGAAAGCTTTTGGAATAACCATCATTAATGCGCTACATCTCCACACTTTCTTTTCAGTCATGGCTACAACTTTGTGGTGATGCTGCCTACTGGAGCTTCAAATATTGACATCCGTCAGCGCGGCTACCGAGGAATGGTCAGTGATGAAAACTACTTAGCAGTGAAGAATCGGCACGGCAAGTACCTGCTGAACGGCAACTATGTGGTGTCCGCTGTGGAGCGTGACCTGCTGGTGAAGGGCAGCTTACTGCGTTACAGTGGCACCTCCACATCTGTGGAAATTATTCAGGCCACCAGACCCCTTCAGGAGCCTCTGACTGTGGAGGTGCTCTCTGTAGGGAAGATGACTCCTCCGAGGGTGCGCTACTCATTCTACATCTCCAAGGAGAGCAAGGAGGAGAAGACTCTGCGGAAAGAAGAGAGGAGCCACACAGCGCAGAATAGCGTCTTGGCGGACATTAATAGGGTGGAAGCAAAGAAGCAGGTGATGGGTAAGAGGCCAGTCAGTCACTGGGTTACAGGAAGTTGGGATTCATGCACGGTGACTTGTGGGAATGGTCTGCAGAAGAGGCTGGTGCAGTGCCAGAGCATGGAGGGGCGTCCTGCAGTCGACTGTAACAATGCTGACAGGCCTGTAGCAGTGAGAGCATGTGGGGATCCATGTCCCGTGTGGGATGTTGGGGCCTGGTCTCACTGTTCCAAGTCTTGTGGAAGGGGCTTTAAAAGGCGACCAGTGCGCTGCATGACTGAAAATGGTCTGAATCTACCCAGAGACCACTGCTCTGGAAGGAGGAAGCCTCAGGAACTGGACCTCTGCAACCTGAAGCCATGTTAGAGCAGAACAGACACAGCCCAAGGACTTATTTTTGTCAGTCAAAGTGACAATTTGACATGAACCTTAGCTGACTGTGTCTGAAGGGGCGTATGCTACACCGAAGAGAGCCAGTGGAGAAGGAGAGGGTCTCTCCCTCCATTATTTGAAAAGACAGAAATCTGTTTAGACCAGAGAAAAGATGGAAAGCTGTCTTCTTGTAAACTGTCAAACCATCTGAGGCAGGTTTGACTTGTGGTTAGTCTACCTCTAACAGGACAGATGGCACAATGCCTGAGCATATACAGAGCGTAACAGAGGAGAAAGATGCAGAGACGGTGATCACACATCTGCACACAAACATAGTTTCTTGGTATAGTTATGTGTACTGGATGAGATCGCAAAAGCAGAGAGAAATGAAAGTCTAGGACAAACAGATGGAGCATTGTAAAGACTCACGCTGTGCAGTTATCAGCAGCGGCAGCTCACCTGTGAATTGACATTTTTCTCCTTTCACTGAAGAACTAATCGAAATGTGAAACACAGTACTGTATCATTCATGCAGGTCCATGCAGTTTCAGCAGCTTTTTTTCCCCATTTTCCTTGATTCACTGCTATCGGCTGTTGTATGATGTAGAAAAATCAAAGGCAGCAGCCAATTACACATTCAGTCAGTCAGATCATCTTTACAAGCTTTATATCCTTCCAAAATGAAAAACAGTCAACAATATATCCTACACACTTGATACATTGGATCAATATCAAAGAAGTCGTTCATTTTACTAGTGACCAAAAATCTAAAAGTATTTTTGTATAAGAGGAGAATGAGCTAAGACGTTATTCTATATAGTGAATGTAGGCTGTTTGTATGCATCTGTGTCCGTTCTGTGTAAACCAAACCGACCAACGCTCAGTTGTTTGTTCCATGTTGCCAAAGAATTATTATAGCCTTCAGAAAAGCCTTAGTACTGTAAGAGACACCTCTCTGCTTGAACCGCACAGAAGCATGGCTTGCTTACATTACTGTCATCACCTTAAAGTCCTACTGAAATTAATTTGCAGTGTTTTGTCTGCTACAACAACACATCAACGTTATTTTTGACAACAAAAAGGGATGACTAAATGTGATTTCAGTTTCTGTCAAACACTCACCGCCCGGAGACTTACAAAGCTGTAAAATAATCAGCAGACTAATGGATTAGGAAAGCAACAGAAAATAAGTAATATGCTGTAAAACTTCAATTAAAAATAGGGTCGCAGGCCAGAGGCAGGTTCCCTTTACTAGCCTGGTGTGGCAACATGTTTTGACAAATAAAAGCAGCTCTCAATTAGAGGCCTGGTCTGGGTTTTATAGAAGTTCTTTGGATTTATAAAAACTCTTAAAACCCACCGGGTCGCCCGTTTCAGCGTATTCTAAGCTGCTGAACAAATATAGTAAAAGTACACAAATATACATGTTCAAGCTTTTGTCATTACGGACACTCTACGTTAGATCAGCTAGATTCTCCACAATTCAATCCTTCAGTTCATTTTGAAGAAACTATGAGCAGCAGAGTGAGTGAAATAATCAAAATCAAAAATATCATTGGTTCCAGTTTCTCAATGTGAGGTTCTTGTTGTTTTTTCCCCTTTTATGTGAGAGCAAATCTTTTTGTATTTTAAACTGTTTGTCTGCCAGAGCGAGCAATCTGAAGACGTCTTGCACCAGGAAATTGTGATTTGGATTATTTTCTGATATTTTATTGATAAAACGATTTAAGTTTTTAGTTCCTTCCTGAAGTATAGAAGTTATTTTGAAAGACCTATGAAAATATCTCAAACCACTCCTGCAGCATAGACCACTTTTCTACTGAGTATCTATACGACACTAATATGTCTATTTATCTTCTTGATTAGCAATAATAATAATAAAGGTTTATCCATAGAGTACTTTTCTAGTAAAAACTGCAAAGTCCTTAGGAAGATAAAACACAATGGCAGGACATATGCAGGGTTAAAAGAGCTGCATAAGGTAAAAAGCTGCAAACAGTACTACATAGTAGTACAAAATATAAAAGGACGTAAACATATAACATAACATTCCCACATGCTGAAAGTAGCTATGCAAAACACCATCCCAAAATAAATGAAAGAAAATGTAAAAAATATGGCATTGGTAGCTTGTTCTGAAGAGGGGAATCAGCAAAGCAAAAGTTTGACAGCAATTAATAATGCTTCGTAATAAACCCTAAAAGATGTTGGCAAGTGCGATGAAGATTACATTAGGGTGTTGTCTGAGAAACCCTTCAGATCGGTAGTTCCGTTGCTCCGTTGTTAAGCCAAATAAACAAATACAGTGATATTGCTAAATGCTTTCAGGTCATGCTGTTGTGTTCCTCAAAGCCAAATGAACACAAGAGGTGAGCGTTTTGTGCTCAAAAGATGCTTATTTTATTTCAGTTGGAGTATAACTTCAGTATTCTACAATGCTGATGTTTGCTATGCTTTTATGTTAGCATTGCATGCAGTCTTCTGTTCTTCTGCTGCTTGGCTGCTTCATCACCTCTAGCCCTTAATGAGGAGACATACTGCATCATGTTTCATGTATCACTATACTGTCCCAGGCATCAAAATGTATATGGTTTGATTATTTGCTCTGGTGTTACGCTTATTCTCCTGCTGAGTAAAGCCTACCGTATACACAAGCAGAAAAAGGCTTATCATGTCTATGAACACACCATGTTGAAATTAAAGGGAAAATCCACCCTAAAACACAACACCCATTGGTCTACTTCCCATCCTGGCATTCCATTTTGTTGTTTTGAAGGGATTGTTTTCTTTGAATAAACTGCAGCACAGCTGGAAATATGTGTAGTTGAATAAAATTTGGAGCAGCAGTCTTAAAAATATTTGGTAAAAGTCCAGTTTTGTTGTCACACCCTAAGATTTGTAATGTCTGTCTGGAGTCACTATTTCACATGAAACTGACAGAAAGAATTTCACCACCTCTGAGATTAAAACTTTTCCAATTTCATCATAACGATAACACCTGGAATGCGACAATCATCACAGAATCAAAGATAACTTTTTGTATTTGAAGGTGAAATTTTCCTTTAAACTGATAGACACAATGCCAACAAGTCCTTCAACAGAAAACTCATTTCACTCTTCATTTTCAGCCTGTTTTTGTTCAGAGGGACCAATTATACCATCTAAAAGATGGTATTGTACAGTTTTTTTCACATCATGTACAGATAATGTTATTTTTTATTGTCTTTTGTATTGTATACTATGTATACATTCATCTAGCTGTATAAAATAAAGTATATATATATATAAGAATATAACCATATGTTGAATCATGATTGATGATGTGTCCGTTGCTTCAGGCTTTCCAGTATTATTCAGATATTTTACGTTATAAGACAATAAGGAAATATGACTTCCCTGCTGTAAGACTACCCCACATCATTGGATGACAGACTGGGTGGACACCCATTGTCTCTTGTCTCTCTTTGCTCCCGAGTATCTGTTACGGCAGATTTATGCTGTGCCACGCAGTCTTCCATCACATGAGATGAGACAGTCTTGATACCTCAGCTCTTCTCCAACTGAAGCATGACCGCAGATGAAAACACATTCATTCATCCACTTTGGTATTCTGCTGATTCAAGCTCCGTTGTCCCGGCCGTGCTGTAATAACACACCCAGCTTGGCCAGAGCCTGCCCAGTAAGCATCAGGCTTGGACACCTTCAGCCCAAGGATTTGACCCATATGAGGTCCATACTGATATCAATATTTTTAAGATGTGGATAGTTAATATTAAATACATTTATGGTTTACTTTTTAAAGAGGAACTCCACGTTCAGTTATTATTTATTTCCTCTTGCACATAATCACATGGATTCTTGTTGGCATCTGATGTTAAAACTGGTGTGTAAAGCCATTTTTTGTGCATCTCCTTGGATTTAAAAGAACAGCTAATAGCCCTGAGCTCCTGTGGGGCCCTGACACTACACTAATGGTTGAGAACTGTGGGGTGTGTTGCTGGATGCTATAAAGGTGCATTTTGTATAACATCATGATTTAAATTTAACTTGTAATTTGCTGATTATGGTCTAGTGGACTGATCAGGCCTGCAACTCAAGTGGGATGAAACAGTGACCATTACCAAACCCCTATAGGACAAACCCCTGGAAGAATATTTCTACATGTTTTAACACATTTTAACAACTGCGGCCCGTGATCCATGTTTAATTGGCCCGCAGCACATTCTAAAAAAATATAATGAATATGGCCTGAATATGGCCCACACATTAAACTTGCGCTTGACTGTATTGTACTTCTTAGTTTTAATGCTAGGTGGAGCTACTGTCTTTAACACGGCAGCTTATCTACAAAACAGGATTAATCAAAGAAGTTGAAGTTTTGCCACAGGTGACCAAAATGACCGAACCAAAGAAACGCAAGATAGCAAGTAAGTGTAGAAAATTTCAGATACGGTGGGAAAATGAAATTTTTTTTTTTCACAGAAGCTAAGTGGAAATGTGTTTGATTTGCAATGAAACTATTACAGTGATGAAAGAGTACAATGTACAAAGACACTATGAAACCAAACATCAGACCTACACGTCCTATACTGGCGCCGGCGAGAACAGAAAGTTAAACTAATGGCAGCTAGCCTGCTAGCTCAACAACAGTATTTTTTCCGTGATAAAAAAACAGCTACTTGGTAGCTCAGCTCATTCCCCGACACGGGAAGCCTTTCTCAGATGGTAACTTCATAAAACAGTGCCTCACTAAAGTAGCAGGAATAATGTGCCCGGAAAAAATGCGGGAATTCAACAACGTTAGCCTGTCCAGAAACACAGTTGTGCGGCGAATCAAAGACTTGTCAGCTAAGGTAAAACATCAATTCTCAGATAAAGCTTTTGATTTTTACTCCATTGCATGTGACGAGACCACAGATGCCACAGACAAGGCACAGCTGGTAATTTTTTTGCGCTGAGTTGACGATACCTTTTGCATTACGGAGGAGCTGCTTGATCTTAGGAGTCTAAAGGGCACAACAACAGGTAAAGAGATTTTTAAGCTGTGTCAGATGCAATTGACAAGATGGGACTAACATGGAACAAGCTGTGTGGAGTTACAGCGGATGGCTCCACGGGGCTCCAGCAATGACAGGCGAGCGATAAAAGGAATGGCCTCGATGGTGTGCGCCAAGGTGCAAGAGTGGAGGTAAGGCTATTAAGATGCACTGTATCATCCACCAAGAAGCCCTCTGACAGTCCAGCTTGGTGATGTAATGAACAAACAATTTCAAGCTTTCCTATCTGATGTCAGTGCTGAATATGGGGACCTACTCTACCATTCAGAAGTGCGCTGGCTAAGTCGCGGCGGTGTGCTGCAGCGGTTTTATTCCGTGAGATCAGAAATCAACTAGTTTTTGAAAGCAATTGACCGACTTCTTCATGAGCTGAGTGACCCTCTATGGTTGGCAGACCTGGCATTTTTAGTTGATCTTACTGATCATCTTAAAACACTGAACAAGAACCTACAAGGCAAAGACCAGCTTGTGCCGCAACTTTACGCACACATGAAAGCATTCTGTGTGATGCTCTGTCTCTTTGAGACACAGCTGCGCAGCTTCAATGTTGCGCATTTCCCCACACTGTCCTGGTGGATGCAGAAGTGGAAGAGAGTCTGCAATTAGAATGCAGTGTGATGATTCTCTGAAGAATCAACAGGCCAAGTTTCCTCTGATGAGACGCCACGGAAAATGAATGATGTGTCTGTTCGGCTCAACATACACATGTGAGCAGAAATTTTCTCTGTTAACTCTGAACAAAAGCAGACTAAGAACCAAAATGACCGACAGCCATCTCTGTGATGTCCTCAGCATCTCAACCACCAAACTTACTCCTGACCTGCCAGCCATCCTTCAGTCCAACCGCAGCATCACTGCTCCCACTGAGTGCAGCGCTGTTCCCATTATAGGTGAGTTAAATATATATTACACAGTATAAATGTGTTAATAAGCCCAATTACTTCATGAATTCAGTCAATTTATGTTGATAACATTTTTCTAACAAAAGTCAGTTGATGTGTTAACAAGCCCAATAACTTATTTAAGCTTGAAATATACTCATTCCCATATACTTATTATACTTATTTCCCCCCTTTATACAGGGCTGTGAAGGGGGATCACCATCCTGAATAAGAAGCAAGCAGACTGCTGTTTTAAGAATGAACTGCCACCCTTTCTGTAACAAAATAAATTAATAAATTAAAACCCATTAATAGAAAGATGTGAATGATGTAGGCTGTTTTTTTCTTTAAGCATATTCAATTATCAAGCATTCTATTATCTACATTTGATTTTGCCAACTTCAATACACTAAAGGTGAGGCGATATACCTCACTATAGTGAGGGCCGAGCCCTTCGTATATTTTTCCATATGTGGCCCTCAGTGAAAAAAGTTTGGACACCTGTTTACAACAATTTACAATATGTAATTCTGATTTATTTTCATTTCGGGCAGGCAGAGACTAGTGATATTCTATAATTTTGCAACTGCTTACAAATCCCAAAAAGCACCAATCTCTACTAATTGAGATGCTTTAGATTTGTATAAATGAACTTGTGGTGTCAGTATGTCTGCTTCCCCACCCACAGAAAGTGAAGTTTTTAACTTAAACAGCAGTGACTCATCAGTGTTAGATCTTTTTCTTTTGGTCTCCCTTTGGTGTCTTCTGGTATAAAGCAGTGCAGACAGGCTGGGTTGGTGCATATGAGGATGGCTGTGTGCAATTTAATGAAGTCAGATCTTATAACTCCTGGTTGTCCAGTAAAAGAACAGACCTGATGTGATGGGCTCAGGGATGGTGGAGCATCTCTGGAGGATGTTGGTGAGATAAAGTTACATTATGGGATGCTGGGTGGACTGGTTGACCCAGCAGGGAGGGGGCTGGATAGAGATCAGTGAACCCAAGCTGGAAAGGATTCAGATGGGTGCGTAGTCTCTCTTAACAAGTCTTTATATCTAAGTGATTGATGATGACAAAATGCATTGCTTGTTAGTGTCATCCTAAACAACCCATCACCCAAAAACAACACAAACTGAGTGTTTTCCTATCTGCCACCTCTATGGTTGAAGTTTTCTTATGTTTCTACTCTCTACTTTAATTAATGCTGCAGTGGACATTTTGAACATACACAATGCAAAACCTTCCACCTCTCTCTCTCTTCTGCCACGTATCACTCCACTTAGCCCTACCACCGAACCCACAAGTCAGAATAAAGCACGTCATCCCTCACAGGGCTCACTCTCCGTCTCGCTTTGTGTGTTTGTCATTATGTCTCTTTGCCACTTGTCAATAAGAGCTTTATGGCATCGAACATAATGAGCCCGAAGCTCTGTGAGGAGCCAGGATGTGTTTTACAATATGCTGAAAGGTTATTCTAGCATTTTTCCCCAAATGCTGCAAAAAAAACCTGTTAGTTAGAAGATACACTACCAGGTTAATGAATAATGGTTAAAATATAAACAGGATATTTTAAGAGTGAAAACCAAAGCCATTGTTTTCCTGTACAGTCTGTCCAATGGGTTCATAGAAAAGACAGAAAAGAGGGGTAGAGAAAACAACAAACAACAAACAAGGTGGATGGAAAATTCCGGAGAGACAACATAGAAGCTGCAGTGATTTAGTGTATTTATATTGCTGAGAGTATAGAGTTGTGGTCTCAACTTTTGACATTATGTTGCCAACTTTATTTATTGAGATTTAAACAATTATCTCCTGCTGCCTTTTGTGGCTCCCAGTGTGTAACATTACATTAAATTAGAGGTTTAAATGTTTAAAGCAGCAATAATTACTTTTTAACCAAATGTTACACATATTATCATTTTATTATATTAAAATGTTATCATAATATAACATATTAGGAAACAGCTACATATTTATGCACCCTGAAGATGCAGATCAACATTAACATTCATCTGGAATAATTTTTCTTACCTGATTAATGTAAGTCCAATATTTACTTTAAGCTCTGTTTTGGTCTCCACCAGCTCCTGATTGAAATAGCTGGTGCTTTAGCTGCTAAATGCTCCACGATGTTCACCAGCTAGCTGTTAACTGTGTCTGTCTGCCATTTGATGCGAGACAGGTAGTGTACAGTGGGCTATGACCAAGCGGCAACCTTCACGGCTGACAAATGAGGCTACTTGAGGCTGGCTTCAAAAGTGAGTCAATCTGCACTAGGCCCCATATCAAAATGCAGCAGAAATATACATGATTACAGCCTGGAACAAAAAATGGTTTTGGTCTCTATAGGTAAATTCC